TTGAAAGTACATTTCTCCCCATTCAGCTATACAGTCCAAAAAACTAATAAGGGTCCCTTAGGAGAGGTCACATTCCTTTTGTAAGATCAGCTGTCTTTTGTCCGATCATTGTCTAATCTATGACATTTACGTCTGTTTTTTAAATTCATTTCCATGTACTATCATATAATCTCTACAGAACTAGATATTTTATTCATTTCTGCCACCAGATGCAAATAAGTATGAGAAACAAGTATCAACCAATGCAAACTGAGTAGATCCCACCATATCAATCACTACAGATAGTCTTCAAGTTATGACTACGAAGAGGACCACAATTTCCATTGCCAAGCAAGGTGGATGTTAAGTTAGCCATGCCAAATTTTATAACTTTTCTGCCATTGTTGTTAATCAAATCACTGCAGTTGTTAAGTGAATTGTGTGGTCATTAAGCAAAACCATTGACTTTGCTTTTCAGAAACCAGCTGGAAATGTTGCAAATAATGATCTTAGGATGCTGCAACTGTCCTAAATACATGCGTTTCCAACTGCCCAAAATTTGATCACATGACTTTGTGGATGCTGCACAGTTGTGGGTACAAGGACTGGTTGTAAATCACTTTTTTAGTGATTTGGTTATAAAGTTGCCATTATAACTTTGAATGGTCACTAAATGAATGGTTGTAATCTGAAGACTACCTTTATGTTATTGTTGAGTGCATCAAAGCAAAAACAATTGGGAGAAAATGAAAACCAGAAAACAATGCTTTATATTGGGACATCTTTAAGATGATTCAGGATAGGTTAGTGCTGAGACAAAAATGTGAGAATCTCACATAAAAAAGCAGGTCAAATGCCTGATGATAGGAAAGCTTGAGGTTCAGCCCACTAATAGTGTTATTTTAAAATCGTTTTTTGCATTACAAAAAGAAAAAAATGTAGAATTAGAGTCTCAAGAATTACATCTACATAATGTTAGTCTATTAGAATGGATATCTTGTACAATATAGAGTAGGCATATGACAAGGTATAAGCAGCATGTTTGACCAGGTAATGGAACAACAGCAAAGGTCCAAATTGATGGAGTTGTTTGGAGACTGTTATTTGGACCAGAGTGAATGTAAAAGTTCCTTAATGGCTAAGTTGCCAGCAAATTTTGCTTAGAAAATTACAAATTAGAAAATGCTCAAAGGAAAAAAGTAACTAATTACTTAAGATCAATCCATTTTTCCCTTGCCTCCAGTTGCAGGGAAAGAACAAAGAAGGCAGGTAGATTACATTGTTAGAAAAAAAATAGAAAAATAAAGCAACTAGAAAACATGTTTGGGAATCTGCTTCTCTCCAGAAATCTGACATGGGAAAGTAGCATACCTGTTGGCGTGTTTACATTGTATTCCTCAATGGCCAATGTGTAAATAAAAATATATATATCAGTATAATACTGATACAAATAATTCATGGTTGAATTTTGGCACTGAAAAAATAGGCTCCTCTGGCTCAGATAGCCTATAATGCTACTTTTTTCTAATCTGGTGATACACTCCCAGCATACGACTACAACTGTTACGATTTCCAGCTACTAGACTAGGTTATAATGTTGCTGCTTAGCCCATCTCTGGAATGCCAGTTTTGTGAGATCTAGCAGGTTTATTTCTCTGAACACAGACCCATATGCAGCCCAAACAATCCAAGATTTTCAAAAGTAAATAGAAATGAAGAAAAATGACCCACTGGGATTGAGAAGATTTATGACCCCAGTGTGCTTTCTGGCTACTGGGAAAATTCAGAAAGATAGGGAATGGCTTCTCAGTTGAGGTTGTTTTATCAATAACAACAGAAGCTGCAGAAGTCACAGCAGTGATTATTTTTTAAAAGAGTAAATGTGTCATCTTATAATCCTTTGTCAAGAAGAATTAGCAGAAATTATGGAAATGGTCCAGCCACCAGAGCAGGTGGACAACCTTTCAGAAGGCAGAAAAAGATGACATCACTCTCTATTAATTCCTCATTATCAATGCAATCTCAGGGCACATTTTCCGTTCAATTACTGAAGTGCCTTTTCTATGTTATAATTCCTCAAGTACTTATAGTTTAATTAGATTCCTCAAGTACATCTAGTTTAGATAGCATGTTTCATTTTGTTGTTCTGTAAATTAGAGTTTATATCCATTACCTAAAAAAGATTGCAGGTGTCTATAATTCCAACATATCTCTCAGCTCTGAGTATTCTGAAGAACACAAAGTGAAGTTTTTTTATCTGCTTTTCATAAGCATATTGTTGTTATACATGGAACTGCCATCCTGGATAATAAAATTAAGGATAATGGAAGACACATTAACATTTGGATAACTTGACTCTCAGATAACCAGAGGTCATATGACAGCCATTCTGCTATTTGATCATCAAATATCTTCGTGGAAAAAGTTGTTTACCAATGTTTTATTTATACAAGCCAAGTAACAAGCTCTTTGCAAGATTTATTATTTATAGTGCATGAGTCTGCACAGACAACTCTCACTTTCATTAAGGGTATCATGACATTTGGATCATTTCTTAAACCTCTTTCTTCTCCTTTTGTATCTACAGAATACAATACAGACTTTGATATCTGAAAGTTTAGGATCCAGGAAAATGTCCTTTCCCATATAGACACTTTGAAAATATAATTGTGAAACTTGGACTGCAAAAAAGTAATTGCTTAGTATTTGTTTACTTAATACTCCAAGTTAGAGGATAAAACAGTCTTGAGGGAGAAGCTCTTGGGAAATACTGTTTTTTGGTGTTATTAACAACTGTGAAAAGAAAATTTTCCTGCAAATATCACGAAGTGCTATTACAGTACAGGCACCAAAGCAGCAAAGATCAAATGAACAGGACTCTGTGTTTGCATTCCACTGGGGCATTCAATCAGCTCAAAAATTTCTCATTTTGTCTAGCTTGCTGTCAACCTGAGAATGAACAGATTCATCCATGATTTGTTTATGGGATCACTAGAGACTAAAGCAAACAAGCAAAAGAGCTCCATAGCAACCAGAGAGAGGCCAGTTACTTGTCTCTGACAATTCAGAGTGAGTGCAAATAAAAAAAAAAATCCATATTCCTGATGACTTTTTCTGTTGTACTTTTGCACAAGTGGAATGAAACCCATGGTTGGCTTCACACTAAGACATAATGCAATTGGGAAGCTTTAAACTTATATGTGAATCCAGATGGTTGGGGAATCTTCCATTAACCTAATTTTCATAGTGTAGCAAATTGATGAAGAAAACACCATACTTACAAAAAAGTGGAAAGTATCATCCTTGTTTAGTAAACAGTACATTTATTAACAACTAATTTCCATTTCAGCTCAAACCCATTTGGGGTATCTAGAAACTGGTACTTGGACCCAAGGTTAATTATGAGTTTCCAGTTTCTATTTCCAGAAATCAAAAATTCAGTAAAACACTGAAGATTCACACTTAAAGATGCACAGATGTTCATTAAGCTTAGATAGTGTTGGGAGAATTTCCCTGGGTCCCTTCCAGGCAGGGAGGCAATCAAGATGTGAAGGCTGGCTGCTTTTGGAAAGGAAGTTTATTATTATTCTAAAAACAATACAAGGTTTGCTTTTGGGACCCTGGACTGGCACATGAGCAAGATTTTTATAGGATTCTAAGCTTTTATTAGTAATGTGAGTAATATATGATTTTATTTTAAAAAAAAACCAGAAAACCCATGGCTTTCTATGGTTAGAGGAAATACTTTGCTTGTTATTTCCTTTATCAGAAAAGATCTTCCTGGCCAGGTACATGGTGTAAAGAAAATAGGCACAACTGTTAAAACTCACATGCCTTTTAAATGTTGATTGATTCCAGAGCTGCTTGTAAGCATTCTGTTGCTTTTTAGAAAACCTTGTATTTTATGAGTGGAAACAGGTTTGACTTCAGATCAGAAGGCTGTTAAAAGGAGGGAGTGCAAATCAGAGGCTTTTTAACTTCTATCAATAATTATCAAATAATCTCAGAGTCAGAAAAGTGAGAACAAACTTCCTCTTTAAAACAGTGTTCCCCAATCTGGTGCTCCCCAGATGCCAATGATTTCGACTGTCATCCTGAATGTAGATTGTGAGGGTTGAAGTGATAATGTTGGATTCCCTTGAGAGTCAGGAAGGTTTCATTCAAAAAAAAAATCATTTTTTTAAAAAAGGTATCTTGCTTAATAAAGTATTGTTAACAGATCAAGCCCTGGCATCTTTTCTGCACATTTTTATTTCCACAAATAAAACAAGCAACTCACAGGCATGCTTCCCTGAACGTTTTGGAAGAGTGAGGTTTTTTTTTTTTTAAGTGAAGTATTTCAAGGGCATATTGACTGAATGAATGAACTGTTTCATTTCATTTTATTTTGTTTAGAGAGCAGCGTAGGTATAGGCAATGCTTTATTCTTACTGTGAAAAGTTCTCTCCTGGGGTTAAAAAAGCATCAATAAATCTTACAAAAACTAAGTGAGGAGCAAAAAAATGCCACTTTCATCAGCAACAAATTGGAAAATGAACAAGAAAGGAGAAGGAATACCGGTTGTTTACCTTATATGATCTCTTTGGCCTCTTTACCATATTTAGTCCTTCCTAGTGTGACTTCAGCTATCTGGAGCTCCCAAAACAGGGTCATATAGCAAACTCCTCAGATTTCTCTGTGCCTTTAGCAGATCTACAACCTGTGGCTTACTACTGCTTGAATCCATTAGAATGTGAAGCATTTGATTGCATTTCACAAAAATACTCTGTTACTACTCACTATAACAATTTCTCTATGCAGAAATAAATTTTGATATTGCCAATTTTTCAGGAAAATTTCTCCTTCCTAATGCAGAGTTCCCCAGGAGGGGAGGGTTCAGCGTAAGCAGTTGGCAAGTGCGTACACACCTCCCTTTGTGCGCCACAAGCATGCACACTCACCACTTGCACAAATGGAGCGTGCACTCACACGTGTATGCATGCTGCTCGCACAAGTGAGGATGAACACGAGCACGTGCTTACCTGAGAGTTCCGCAGCCTGATTCCGAACAGCTCATAGCCCAGTAGTGGGCCCCAGCCCTGGGGTTGGGGACCCCTGTCCTAATGAACTGAAATACAGAGAGGGGGAAAATATTGATATAATAAATAAGCTGTTTGCCTTATAGTTGAACATTATTTTGCATTAAAATTATTGCTGAGTGACATTTAGAGCATTATGCAATTCTATTTTATACTTCTTTCATTTAGTTTTGGGGAAAGCAGTCACTAAATGGTACAAATCTGCCATGACTATTTTATTGCTCATCAGTTCCTTGGCTTATTGTGATGCTACTGAGAATACTTATTTTTCCCATGACTGTGCTAGAATCTCTCTATCCATTTATATCAAGTCCTTTTCTAAAGAAAGTCAAATTTATATCTTGAGTACAGTTTATGTAATGAATCCCTAGAGAAAATGTCTTTGTTGCTCCTTTTAAGGAATTAAATATGAATGGAATAGTATTTGTAGTTGTATATTTATATATTTGAAAAATTCTATATTTGAAAAATGTAACTTACAGGAATTGACTATGTCAGGGCTTTTCAGCCAGTGGTACGGGTACCACCTGTGGTACATTGGCACCTTGCAAGTGGTACGCGACCATCCCAGAAAAATGGTAGTGGGGGAGGGGAATGAGCTGAACAGATGGCAGTACCGCACAAGCCTGAACGAGAGATGGCTGGACCTGCAGGGCTGTCAGGGCTCAGCGGAAACGCCAGGATCAGCGCTTCTTTAGGACTGTCAGGGCGCAGTGGAAGCATCAGGATCAGCGCCAGGCTCCAGCTGGAGCTCGGCGCTGACCCTGGCGCTTCTGCTGAGCCCAGAAGAAGCGCCAATCAGCTGGAATGTTGTAGCATCTCCAGGGTCTTGTGATTTACATGCAGATGCTTGGCAACTCATTCATATTTATGATGGTCACAGTGTCTCAGGGTCATGTGAAGTGACCAAAACCTGCTGCAACCATCCAGCAGACAGGAATAAAAACCAAACACCCCCCCCACCCCATCCCTGCTGCCAATCCTCAACAGAAATGCTCACAATGAAAACCTGGGACAGGAGGAAGAGCACCCCTGGGTAGGCAGGCAGGTGTCTTGCTCGGCTGTGGCTTGGGAGGCCCTTTTTTCAGTGCCATTGTAACTTCGAACAGTCACTAAGCAAACTGTTGTAAGTCAAGGACTACCTGTACTTCATCACGTTTTTCTTTTTTCTTTTGGTCAGCTAGGCGACTGGTGGTACTCGGATATTGCCATATCCTAAAAGTGGTACAATGGGTAAAAAGATTGAAAAGCCCTGATCTATGTGTAAGTATGCAGTAATTAGTATGTAAAAATGTAAAGTCTGTCAAAAGGGGTCCTGAAAAGAACATGGAGCTGCTACTAGTTGTAACCATACTCAGTTGGAATATGCTTTCCTATAACATAAATCCATTATTCTCTGTCCTGTACTCTGGAACAACAGAAGACAGGTCTTAACATTCTTCAATGTGTCATTGTGTCATTATTTCAGATAACTGAGGAATGCTACCATCTTTTCCATTATTCTTTTTTCTAAGGCTGAGCACACTTTGAAACTTAGTTTTTAATCCACTGATTATCCTTAGTGTCTGAAACTCTCTTCACAAAAAACTGTTCATGCTGTGGTGTCACCAAACAGGAACACCTGTTTAATTGACCTTCCATTTATGACACTTTGCATGGACTCCAGATGCCAATTTAGGCAAGATGAGGAAGAGAAAAATATTCTGAAAATAAAAATAGCTTGGTGCTATAGTATTTTAATTCCACAATTGGAATTTTGTCCTCTTTCCTTTATGAAACTAAATCTGCTTTGTTTTGCTGCAAAGGCAAAAGATGAAACAATGTAGAAGAAATATCAGAACAAATGTAGGAAGCTAATGTTCTGTTTATTAGGAACAGGCCGCCATACCATGGAGAATACTTTGTTAGGCAAGGAGTCTGGAGACTCTTCTTTTGCTACTATGGCAACCTATCAGTATCTTTTATAATACCCTGTGGATAGTCTTTTTTAGGTATACAGGTTGTCCTTGACTTATAATCAAAATTGGGACCAGAATTTCTCTTGCTAAGCAAGGTCATTGTTAAATGAAATGTGTCCAGTTTTACAACTTTCTGCCATAGTTGTAAATCAAATCACTGAAGATAAGTTGAATCATACAGTCAAGTAAGCAAATCCAATAAGTAAATTCCCTCATTTACTTTGCTTGTCCGAAATGAGCTGGGAAGATCGCAGAGGATGACCACAATGCCCCTAGCTAAATAGTTATAAATTCATGCCAGTTGCCAAGCACCTGAATTTTGATCACGTAACTGTGGGGATGCTGCAACAGTTGTAAGTGCGAGGTCAGATTGCAAGTAATTTTTTTCAGCAGTTGTAACTTCAAACAGTTGCTAAATGAATGGATGTAAGTTAAGGACTATCTGTATTTACAATGAAATTCAAACAGTTAAGACAACAACTCCACTCATCTGTCTTTCTCATATGTATACTTCATATTAAAAAAAACTGGGAGAGACACTGGAACAAGAACCGACAGGAACTTGCATCAAATGAAAAGTGATTAAGAAATATATATAGGATTTTTTTTTTAGATAGTAAAAATTTCTTTTCTCAAAAGTACATTTTTAGCCTGAAAAAAGTAAATGATGACATTTGGAAATATAGTAGCCAATTCCAGCAGCTTAGCCAGGAAGCTTATTTTCTAGAAAAGAAAATAATGCAATGATGATGCAGTTAGGAAAAGATTACATTATTTAAAACTAATATAATCTAAAACCTTCTAATTATAACTCATTTCACATGAATTCCTTCTAAAATGTGTGATCTTCAAGAAGCGTTTTTTTTTTTTTTTACATTTATTCCATCAGAAGATGCTCTTAAAAATAAAAAAGGCATATGTTACAAAAGAGGTGGTAGATCACATTATTTGTAAGGCTGCTTTTAATGAATGATTTCTCTCATCTTTCTGTTTTTTCTATTGTTGTTTCCTGTATAAGAACAATTTGTATTGAAGAGGGCAGTCATAACCATGCAATTGTCATTTTTCTTTTGCATCTTGGCTTTAGTAGCTGCAATACCTAAAGTCTAGCTGGTTCAAAACTGCCCTTTAAATGTGATCATTGGTTTGCTTCCTCTATCATTGTTACTTTTTGTCTGTCCCAACCAGATTTAGAGGTATGGTTACGTGCTCCGTAGTGTAATCTTAAACTATCTACATTTACCATGTACAGAATTAATGCACATTTTAAACAAAATGGAGGAAAATTATTCAGTGATCTTCAAGTAGAAATTTCTTTATGCTTACCTTAATTCATCCTTTTCATACAATTCCATAAGCACACACACACTTTGCAAGTTCCGATGCAAAACAAAAATTGCCTAAGATTACATGTAAAATGTCTCTTCCATCCTCTAATACAGGGGTCCTCAACCTTGGCAACTTTAAGACTTGTGGACTTCAACTCCCAGAATTCCACAAGTGTTAAAGCTGCCAAGGTTGAGGACCCCTGTTCTAACAAAAAAATATAGCTTTTCTATAGTTTTTATTTTCAGAAATCAGAATAGAGTCCAGCTGGAAGGGACCTTGGAGGTCTTCTAGTTCAGCCCCCTGCTCAAGCAGGAGATCCTATACCATTTCAGACAAGTGACTGTCCAGTCTCTTGTTAAAAACTTGCAGTGATGAAGCACCCACAACATTTGAAGGCAAGCTGTTCCACTGGTTAATTGACTTGACAATTCCAGGTTGCTTCTTTCCTTGATTAGTTTCCATCCATTGTTTCTTGCCCTGCCCTCTGGTGCTTTGAAGAATAGGTTGATCTCCCCCTTCTTTGTAGCAGCCTCTGAAATACTGCAATACTGCTATCATGTCCTCGCCCCAATCCTTTTCTCTAGGTTAACCAAACCCAAATCCTGCAATATGTTTTAGTCTCCAGGCCTTTAATCATCTTAGTTGCTATTCTTTACACTTTTTCCAAATCTCAACATCTTTTTTGTAACATGGTGACCAAAACTGGATGTGGTATTCCAGGTGTGGCTCTATTAAGACTTTATAAAGCTCTACTAATACTTCATGTGATTTTGATTCTATGCCTGTTTATACAATCAAGGATTGTATTAGCTTTTTTGGCTGCTGCCGTACACTGATGGCTCATGTTTAAGTGATCGTCCACCAGAACTCCAAGGTCCCTCTCACAGTTACTGTTTTTGAGCCAGGTTTCACCTAATCTGTATTTGGACCTTTGGTTTTTTTCTGCCCGGGTGTAAGATCTGGCTTTTCTCCACATTAAATTTCGTTTTGTTGGATAGGGCCCATTGTTCAAGTCTGTAAAGATCTTTTTAGATTCTGAGGTTGTCTTCTGGGATATTGGCTATTCCTGCCAGCTTAATATCACCTGCCAATTTGTTAAGTTCCCCTTCTATTCCCTCTTCTAAGACATTTATGAAAATATTTAAAAGTACTGAGCCTAAGACAGAACCTTGTGGTAACCCACTGCTTACTTCCATGTAGATGTAGTGCCACTAAGGACTACTTGTTCAGTCAGTGACAAATCCATCTGGTGGTGATGCTGGCTATCCCAATTTTTCTCGCTTTCATTTTCTATAGCTTTTATTTCTGTGAGCAGAAATAAAAATCTTGATTGTTCATATTAAATGTTAAGTTAAAAATACCTTCAAAAATTTGGTTGAAATGCAGCACACTTATCCCATACATTATTTTCCGCTCAGTAGTATATAAATATATATTCTTAGTGGTTCCTTTGGTTGTTTATCAAGGGTTGCTCAGGGAAAAGATACACAGCAGAAAATAATTCTTGAAAGGAAGCTTGCACTGACCTCTGTTGAGCTCTTGAAATAATTAAGTCACAATAGGGAGAGTTATTTATTGATGCATTTCTGAAAAAAGCTATGTAAGTGTTACATTTAGCCTGAAGCTAAGATAAAGGGAACACTCAACAGTATACAAAAACACAAAAAAATGAAAAATATATATTCTTTCTTCCTAAAAGGCTGGATATAGTTAATATGTGAAAATTAAAATCTCATTAAAAGGGTTTAAAGTAATCTAAAAACTACAATGGTAGAATCTACTACAGAATAAATATCCCTTTAGTAGGTCTAAGAGATCGCAAGTTCTTTGCTTAAGAACATAATCAGACCAGAAATTCATCTAGTTCAGTATCCTGTACCCATAGCAAACAACTAGATATAAACAAAAGCCAAAAATATGATATTAACAATTATATTTTCTGCTTGCAATTAGATTCTAAGATATTCTGTCTTGTCATTAGTACTGACAAGTGTACCTTCTATTAACGTGGTTGCCATTACTGTATCTTGTTATATCATAACTTTTTCAGAAGCCATATAGATTCTTTTTCAACAAGGCTTTATCCTTATGGGTTATTTGATTTTTAATATTCAATTTATTAAAGCCAGTTTAGTCTAGTGGTGAAGGCAGCAGGCTAAAAAGCAAATGACTGTGAGTTCCAATCTTGCCTTAGCCATGAAAGCAGCTGAATGATCTTGGGCCAGTCACTCTCTCTCAGCCCAACCCACCTCACTAGATTGTTGTGAGGAACATAGGAGGAGGAAAATATGTTGGATATACTCACTATCTTGAGTTATTTGTAAAAATAATAAAAGGCTGGATATAAGCAAACAAACATACATTTACATGAAAGGAAAATCATTTTTACTTTTAGCTGAAATGTCTTTAATTTCATTTTAGATGAAATGTCTTTAATTCATTGAGAACTAAGTAATATAAATATTTAACTTTCTTTTTTATAACATTCTTTTTGGAAAGGAGCTGGATGCTTATTTTTAAATCCCCTTTTTAAACTGAGTTACAGTCACCGGCTAATCAAGGATTCCTGGAATGAGCAAGTATTGGAGTCAAGTTCCAATTACTCTATCATATGTCACGCAAGGTAGTATTTTGCACAAGTTTATTGGTTTTGTAATTGTGCGCTTTAGCCAGAAAAATTCAAAATCCTCTGCATTTATGTTCCCCTAGAGTTAGGCTAAAAGGAAATATCCTCAATAAGAAAACTAAGAACTCCCCAGGTGGATGGATGGGGATAATTCCATAATTAAAGCTTTGCAGGCCCGACAAAGGAGGATTGCAACTGTTCTCATGGTCCTGGAGTTCAGGTTTACACTGTCATTATTAAAAATGATTCTAGCCAACAGAGGCAACCTTTAAGAAATCCAAAATATTTTACAGAAATGTATTGTGCTTTATTTATACTTGGAGATTTCTATCTAGAAGTTAAGAGTTTTATTGAGATCTCTGGAAAAGTGGGCTAAGAGTTAAAACCCACAGGGAAAAAAAGTTGGGTATTAAGGAATTATTTGGTTCCAAAAATCTGCAGATTATCTTTCAAAAATATAGATTAGACTACATTCTAGAAAGTTTAGAGTTAATTAATGAGGGTAGGGTGAAATATAACTCCATACTCCCTGTCAGATATTGGGGAGAGATGCAAAATTACAAGAACTAACAGTGCAGAATGAAAACCTGAAAAATGCTTCTGTTGTTTATGATAGTCCTCAGGAATTCCTGGCACAAAAACAGCCATTGTGTGAACCTTCTCCTTGATAATAAAAAAAAGGATCCAGTAAATAAGATAGGAGGTTCAAGAGCTTTTATAAATGTCAATTGAAATAGAATGCTCTAATTTGGACCAATAGCTGACCCTATATGGAAAGGTCAAAATGGCAGTTCCCACCAATTCTTTGCAAGCTGATGATTGGTGGGGAGGAAATACCTAGAAAACTGGGGCTGTTGTATTGGAAAAAGGGAACTTATTTGTAGTTAACTGTCTGTTCCAGATAAGGAATTCTAGATGTAGAAAAGCCCTTTCAATGATGGATGATGGAAGAACAAGTCACCCACTGTAGCCAATCTCCATGGTTTCCTTAGCGGATCCTCAGTTCTCTATAAAGAAATGCCTATTTGCAGAGTTAGAGGTCTGGTTCCTAGAGAGAGCTAATGATGGTACAGCTGGAGCACCTTGAGGCAGGGAAAAAAGATAAAAGGTTCATAGTATAGTGGTACCTCCGTACTCAACTGCTTTGAAACTCATCAATTTGGTATCAACACAATTTTGATGAGAAATATTTTGTCCCAGTACTTGTCATTTGTTCAGTATTCAATGCACAAACTAGAACCTGTCAGTGTCGGTTGCCTTGCTACCCTTTCCAGTCCAAAGGGTGATGCTTTAGTCATGTGGTAACACTTGCCCTGAGTACATCCCCTTGCAGTCTTAGTTTCTCTGATCATTTTGTATATGTTTGTGCTTTTTTTCTTATTAGTGCAGATAAAGTGAAGTTTTAATCTAAGTATTTGTTAATTTTTAGGTTTATTTCTCATGTAAAGTTATGATATACAACCCTATCTTTTTGCATATTGCCTTAAAATATGCATTGTCTTTTGTATAGGAATGCGTTAAATTTACATACATTATTCCTTATGGGAAAATTTGTTTAGTACTCATCATTTTTGATACTCATTGCACCTCCCAATTACCGAGATACCACTGTACTTCTACTTACTTACTATTTAATTTACCTGGCCTCCCATCTCACAGAAGTGATTCAGGGCAGCTTACAAGATTAAAAACTAACCAACTTCCTACCCTCTCAAACATAAACCTTCCCTCCCCCATATCCAATGATAAACTATTAATTCCCAATAATAGCCAAACTTATCTTCCCCCAAGTCATATGCCTGGAGGAGTGGACAGATTTCTTTCAAAAGCCTTACCTACTGTAATGAGTGGGAGCAGCAATCCACTATCATTTACCCTTCTCCACCACAGGGAAAGATGTACCATTATCATTTACAATTACTTAAACACATTCAGTTCATAAGATCAAGAATGTTTTTTTAAAAAGACAATGCCACTCTTTATTTTTAAACTTTAATTGTAGAAAAATTATTCAATTAAAATGCATATAACATTTTGAGGAGGTTATACAGGTGTGTTAAATAATAGTACATTATCTTTTCTGTAGTATCTTATGGATTCACAGTGGTTTTAACATGAGTATGTACTTTTTTAAGTTCTCAAAACTTAGCTTCTTGCAGAGTCCTTTTTATAGCTCAGCTGATAAGGAGAGAATAAAAGTTTTTTTAAAAAAAAGATTTTTGCACAGAACAAAATACAGAAATATATACTTATAAAAGTCTATGGAAATTCTTAGTCATCCAGGTCATAGTTATCCCAAAGGTGCTTTTCATGAGGCAACTGGACTTTTTTGTTTTTCTTTGAAAATGTTTCACTTCTCATCCAAGAAGTTCTTCAGCTCTGATGGTGGGGAATGGAAGGATTTATACTCCTTGCAGACAGCTGATCATTTGTATTCTTTTAGAGCAGGTATGTCAAACTGCCGGATGCTGACCAGTTGCGTCACGCTGAAACCGTGCCTATCCCATTGCCTGCAATGGGGAAAAAGTCGCGATACGTCACATGATGTCACAAGTTTGACATGCCTGTTTTAGAGAGTGGTTGAGACCACCTGGAAGTTTATCTGTGTCGTCAAGTCACCTGAATAGTGCAAATGGGTGTCGAGCTTTCTTGGAACTGCTGAAAGGACTGTGTTGTAGACTGGAGATAAATGATGTTGTGGTACAAATGGGTGTGGACATCTCTCAACAGAGGGGGAGGGATACAACATCATTTATCTCCAGTCTACAACACAATCCTTTCAGCAGTTCCAAGAAAGCTCCATACCCATTTGCATTATTCAGGTGACCCTGATGACACAGATAAACCTCCAGTGGTCTCAATCACTCTCTAAAAGAATGCAAATGACCAGCTGTCTGCAAGGAGTATAAATCCTTCCATTCCCCACCATCCAGTCAAAGCTGAAAAAGCTTCTTGGATGAGAAGTGAAACATCTTCAAAGAAAAACAAAAAGTCCAGCTGCCTCGTAAAAAAACACCTTTGGAATATAGTTATGAAAGCTGTGGACAGAATTATAAACCTGCAATACTGGTAAATAAATGGCAGCTGCAGGGACCAGATATAGTTGGAAACTGAGGACCACATAGAAGTGGGGATTTTTTTTTCTCTTAAGGAAGCAAACACGATTCAGTACATTGGAGTGGGTAGGAAAATTTACAGATGGAAAAGTGATAAGAGGATCAAAACTTAAGAGAAAATTAAGGAAAAATAATACCATAGCATTTTAAAACTTACTTCCTTTTCTTTTTCTTTCTATTGTGTTTTGAAGGTTTTTGGGCATGCAGTTCTTTGAATGTTATCTCTTCTTCTACTTCAATGTCCATTTTGTGATGATCAAAGTCTAATTTAAAAGAAGAGAAGAAATTGTTCAAGTTGTCATCTCAAAAACCATATGCTCGTTATCATATATCAATATCTGGCTGTAACTAAAGGGGGGAACCCTTTGCAATAATACAATGATATTTGAAATTATAATAGAATTGATATCTTCATTCTGCCAATCACCCTTTTTCCAAGACATATTCATTAAACATTAACAAATGAAGTAAAACTAGCACTTCTTAAACGGCTTCATTCAGAAATGAGTGGTTTCCATTGTACATAAGGGTAGTCCTCGACTTACCACTGCTTGTTCAGTGAAATTATGACAGAGTTGAACAAAGTGACTTACAAAGCCTACCCAAGGTTATGGATATTGCAGTGCCCCACAGTCACTTTAAGAAAACATGGGTGTTTGGCAATTTGTTCAGCCTTATGACCAACAGCAAGGACTCTGCAGTGGCCCCTCAGTTTATCTCCCCCTCCTCCAATCCCACTGAGTCCACACAGGCCTTGGGCCTGTTTTCCTGCTTTTCTGGATCCCATACCCTCCTCTCCATTCACCCACTCCATCATGGATTAGTCACTTATTTTTTCGATAGATCTTTTAGAAACAGTTACTCCCCCACATGCCCTACCACATAATGGAGGCTGCATCCTGAAAGCAGGTGCCATTCTGGAAGTGTCTACAATTCATTCCAAAATGGTGTCCAGTTCCAGGATGGTGCCATATAGCCTCCACTGTATAAGAGAGGCAGTCAGGTGAATTGGCATCTCCCCTTCCCGAATACAATTTCTGGTCTCCATATGACAGTATAGTGGAGGCTGTATGGTATTGTTTCAGAAGTGTCACAATTCATAGCGGCCAAAATGGCATCCAAGTCTGGAATGGCACCATGCAGTCCACCTATCAAGGAAAGCCACACAGCAGAGTGGCTGCTTCCCTAAGATTTACAGAAAAAGTTAATGGCTGATCCATGATGGATTTCCACTGATAGGCTAATACAAGAAATGGAAAAACTGTATGACTGATCAAAAATAGTGTAAAGCAAGACCACTATATGATATATACTAGACACAAAAAAACATAATACTTAACAAGTTTGTTTAGGGTAATCAATAAAAGAAAACATTTCTACTTGAACAAATTTAATATTATATGGTAGGACTTTTCAAAAGAACAATGCTCACAAAACAACCATCCTCAAAGCACTTAGGCAGATACAAGTGCTGGATTTATGTTGCTGTTTGAAAATCTTTATCAAATTGTCTGTGCATGCACAGGTAGCACTTCCATCAGGACTGCAAGCACAGATGTGCACATGCCATTTAAAACAAAAAACATACCTTCTTCCCTTGTATAGGATTCCATTTTCTCCAGCAACTTTATGGCATTGTCTAAATTAGAATTCAGACTGGTAGCCAACTCAGAAATGATTTTCTTAGCTAAAGTACAAATCAGTGCAACAAATTAGAACAATGGGAATAACAAGAATATTAAAATGTAACATATATAGCAAAGATGAAGAATGGCTTTTCAGATATTATTAAGATAGTGAGCTCATATCCAAGAGATCTAGGTTCCATTTTAATTTGTCACTGACATTTACTATTGGTAATCCTCGACTTATGGCCAAAATTGGAACCAGAATTTCCATTGCAAAGCAAGGCAATTGTTAAGTGAGTTATGCCCAATTTTATGACTTTTTTGCCACAATTGTTAAGCAAATTGCTGCAGTTGTTAAGCAAATCGCTGAAGATAAATGAATTAAGTGGTCATTAAATGAATTCAGCTTCTTCCCCCCCCCAATAGATTTTGCTTGTCAGAAGCTAGCTGGGAAAGTCATAAATAGGGACCACATGATCGTGGGACACTGCAACCATTGCAAATACTATCAAGTTTCCTAATTTTGATCATGTGACTATGGGGATCTGTAACAATCATAAATGCAAAGCCAAATTGTAAGTCACTTTTTTCAGTGCTATTGTAACTTTGAGCAATTGCTAAACAAATGGTTGTAAGTCAAGGATTATATTAGCTATAGTTGACTTTGAGCCAGTCACTATCTTTCATTACAATTTACTTACAAGGTTGTTGTTGTGGAAACCAAAAGTGGGAATCCCTTTATAGCTATTCTGAACTCCTAAAAGAAGTGGCATATAAATGTAATATAATAATAGTATTAAAATTTTAATATATAGGAACTCCTTCCTAAATGACAATTCATTTGGCAACTGTTTGAAATTACAAGAAAAGGGGCTTACAAACAGTGCCCAAAATTACAGCGGAAGTAGCACCTCCAAGATCACATGATTACAATCTGGGTGCTTGGCAATTCCCAAGCGCCCCACAATCATCACCCTTTGCCATCTTCTCTTCTGGCTTCCCCAGAAAGTCAATGAGGAAGCTAGCAAGGAAGGTCGCATGTCTCTGCCACCTGGCTGGTTCCTGGGGACTGGCTGAAAAAAAAATCACTCATTTCAGATCTTTACAACAACTGATATACATGGGAACACCATGACTGGGGTGGTGGAAGTCAATTAGTATGGAAAGAAAAATCTATCTACATATGGTGGTGGTTTACCTACAGCTAAATAGCCATCTGACTTGAAACTCCAGTTTGGACAATTACTGGAATGGATGAAAATGAGTTTCCCTATAACTGTCAGAATATTTAGATCCCTTAATGCCGAAGAATTTTAAATTGCAACCTTTTATTTCTTACTCTGAAAGAAAAAAAAATTTGCTGAGAGAAATAGAAACAATTAAAATGCTTACCATCAGCCCATGCTTTTCTCTTGTAGATGTCTTCCACAGTATCAGAAATCTTCTTAATAATACTTTGGATTTTCCTTTGTACTACTTCTGAATGTTCCTTGGATGCAAAGTCACCTCTGATGCAGGCTTTGTCTCTGATCATTTCCACTATATTCATCCCTCTACATATTGATGGTTCCATCTCATTTTTGAAAAATTCATAGTATCTCCAATAGGATTTTTCTTTATTTTTATGCTCAACCAAGATAACATGGTTTTCAAAAGTTGTTCCAGTAGCAACTTTTTGATTTATTTCCATCATCTCCTCCCTATCAGTTTCTGTTGGAGACACTATCTCTTTAGATTCTTCTGTACGTTCTACCACAGAAACAAAGTTTGCAGGATTTGAGGGAAATTTGACTCCACAAAGATCACATTGTGTTGAGTCAATGTCTGCTCTTTTAAAGATCCCTAATACCATTTCCAAGGAGTCTGGCTTTGGATGTGTAATCCTTTTCCATCTAATACAACAACGCACAAACAGGAAAAGGGATTGTAACCTTTTCTTGGCAGAAGTTTTCTGATGCCGTTTTGATGCTATAGCGGCTAATGGATCTTCTGTGTCTTCAACATCAATGTCTTTATTAAGATCAATTTCTAAATCTTCAAAATAATCTGCCTGCCTGTGATATGCAAATCTGTCCAAGTCAGCAACTTCATAATAGATGCCTCTGACTCCTTTAGAATCCCACCTCCAAGAACAATCAGCTAAAAATTCTTTGTCTCTGCAAAACAGCAACTCCTTGAGTCCTTCAACAACTTCTTTAACCTCAGATGCTTCAATCATGAAATCCACCATCTTGAACAATCTTTCAGGTATTTCAGATGGGTACTGTTTTTTCATTTCTGCAAGGTATTCCTTGATAGAAGGAAATTGCTCAGCTAATGCATCTTTATGCTTCCTACCAAGCACTTGATCAGCATTTATTAACATCACCAAGCAAAGCACCACTGTTCGCTCTGCTTCCCCTGACATGATGAGATCAGGATTACAAAAAGCATCTCTGAGAACATTGAAATTTTCATGTTCATATCCACACAAAACATTGGCTATATACATGAGGTGAAATTTAAATTTCCATACAGCTTGCTTTGGATCCTCTGGCTTATATTCTTGTATAACAGAAAATACGTCTTTTTGTTGAACTCCCCTTGTAAATAAAAAGTCCCAATAATGAAACAGGGCAATGTAGCTCCTGGGCAGACAAAGAGTCATGTTTTCACAGAGACGCATGAGTATGGCACAACCCAAAACAAATTGAAATTCCAGCAAAGTCACTGTATTACCTATGCTTGGAATCAATGGATGAATGCATCTCTTCACCAAGACATTCATGAAACGGTAAAATAGCCATTTACATTGCTCAGGATTTCTATGAATGTACAGCTGATCCATTGAATTCTGCAGCAGTCGAATGAAACACAAATGGGTGTTTACAGCATTTTCTGTGTATCTGTCAGTCATCAACATACCAAATTTGCCTTCTATTCCTTTGAATCTCTTTTTCCTGCTGTCTTCTAATTCTTTGTTATAGTCATCTTCTTCTTTACAAAGAAGGCTCTCAAACTCTGCAGGATAACTAGATGTCAAAGCAAAGACTTGTATTGCTCTTAGCCACAGATCGGTGGATTCTCTTCTGTTTCTGGCAGTTTCATTTTTAAACTCAAACCTGATGTATTCTCTCAGCACTATATTGCAAGAATTAGTAATTCCATAATTCAGGATTTCTTTACAGTCCAATGGATTGCCAGAAACCATTCCCAGATGAAAGCATTTAGGAAACAAAGTATTAATGAGAGACCTGCACAATGCATATTTATCAGCTGTCAACAGTTCATTGATGCCATTGGATTTGTGAAACAAATATTTTGAGAACAATTGCTCTGCTTCTAGCAACAGCCCATTGATTGAAGCCAAGTGCATTTTACACTGAAATACAGATTTTAATTCATCATGTGCCAAAACTTTATGAAAATCTTTACAGGTTTTATCCTTGCACTGCAAGCCTGCAATGAATTTCATGCAAATTCCGGGAAAACTCAGTTCAAATAAATAGCGAATAATGGCAATTAGCCTATTTAATAAATGCTGATTCAGCACACTTTTTACTTCTTTCAAGCTAAGCTTGAACTGGTCACTTTGTTTATTTTCTGTTACTGTATTATCTTCAGGCAAAAGTTCTAGAATACATCCTGCTTCTTTAGGGAAGACTTGCCAAAAATTTCCATCTATTGGCATAATCCCAAAATATTCAAAACATGATTTCACCATTTCTCTTTCTGCATTATTGCCTGCTTTTTGGAAAGCTTTGACCAGCTTCAGAATTGCCTCAGTCCCACAAACAGTCATCTGTAAGATGGCTCCATTTTCTGCTATACAATTTGTGGCTTGAAACAAAGCTTCTACAGCCCCAGCACAGTGATTCACATGTAAAAACATATCAAAGGCTACTTTCAATTTAGCAAAGTCTTTTGTTATAACACCCATCAAATAGGTAGCCTCGGCACTTCCCGATTTCTGGTTTGTTTGCTCAAACAGTTCTAAAGCTTCATTCAAAATGGCTTTTACATCTGCAAGCTTAATAAAGCCTGCTACACCAAGGCGGGCTGCACCAAGTAAACAGGATGCTTGGAAGTCCACTTGATTAGTAAGTTTTGCTGCTTCTAAGAAAAAACCATGCTGTTTCATAAGTTTTGCAGCTTCCTCATCTCTGCCTTCTGCTTTCAACAGATCAGCTGCTTTCTCAATATGTTTGTGTGCTTTCAAGAATGCAAGCTGGTCTTCCGCATCCAGGTGAGAGAGCATCTCCATCATTTTACTGATTTTATTTGTTCGAGAGTATTTTGCAGCAGCTTCCAAATAAAACTGGTCTGCTGTGTATGACAGTTTGAAATCTGGCTGATTTCCTTTTTGTAATATTTCTTCATATCTGAAAGAGATTAACATTATTCATGAAGGTCAGTCACAAAATTGAACTAATTACACAAATTTTAACACAACAGGGAAAGAGAGAGAAGAAATAACATAGTTTCACATATTAAAAAGCACTCATTTTAAAGAGTTGCATTATGTACATGCCTCGAAGTGTTAATGGTTCTCTATGTATTGAAAAATGTAATAAGTAGAACTTCGGAAAAAGGGCTATAAGAAAGAAAAGAAATGAAGGAAACATTGCAAAGGAAAAAATATGAATACTGTATGAAAAGTAACAAAAGACAAACATGCTTGTTTAAATGATGAAGTGAAGAAGGCCATGGATGAGAATGAAATGCATGTAAGAGAATGGTTGCTGTAAAAAATGAGAATGAGAAAAAGATACTGTACGATATGTAAAAAGAAAAAACAATTTCAAACCATGTAGTCCAAAAAAGACATGGAACAGTTAAGGTGAAAAGGGGAAGATAAAATGATTTTTATGAAAATTAGATAGACAGATAGATAGACAGAAACACAGAGAAAAGGACTGCACAAGGGGTCTCCAGTAGAGTGCACAGAATTAAAAATAAAAATTATTTGAAAAGAACTGAAGTAAATAAATACTGGAAATTATATTTTAGAAAATGGTACGTTAATAAATTTGTGACTATGTTTGGCATATCTTAAAGAATGAGATTGATAATAAGCGACATTTGTGAAATGATATGAAATTCATGTCAGGTACAAATGGGTGCAAACCAGATTTCTGCTCTTTATCCAATCATTCAGGAATGAACAAATGTGATAAAATTAGCTGTATGCCTATTTTTGTGGAGAAAGCATATAATAAAATGAATAGGCTTCAATTATAGAATGTTTTATATAAATATGGAATTGAAATTGAGAGCTGAAGTGAAAACAAACAGTCTATGATGGAAACTAATCAAGGAGAGAAGCACCTAGAACTAAGGAGAAACTTCCTGACAGTTAGAACAATTAAACAATGGAACAACCTGCTTCCAGAAGCGGTGAATGCTCTAACACTGGAAGTTTTTAAGAAGAGACTGGACAGCCATTTGTCCGAAATGGTATAGGGTTTCCTGCCGGAGCAGGGGGTTGGACTTAATGACCTCCAAGGTCCCTTCCAACTTTATTATTATTATTATAGATCATCGTACAGTCAGGCAGATGTTCAGACTGGATTTGGCATTTTGTCTATCTATCGAGTCCTTACCCAGGACCTGGGATAGGCAGATGTGGATTATTATTATTATTATTATTATTATTATTATTATTATTAAGAATAAATGGAACTACACCTGAATTTTTACAGGCCAAATATAGCAGTCCTAATTTTGAACCCAAGAATTTCAGAACTACACATTTCCAAAAGTGGAAATACCGTAAATGCTGGCGTATAAGGTGGCTTCCGCGAGCGCTGAAATCGGCGCCAAAGATGGGGGTCGTCTTATACGCCGAGTCGTCTTATACGCCGGAAATACTGGTAGTTTCCGGCGTATAAGACGACGTTCTAGGAATGCGGCCCGGCTATAAAGATGGGGGTCGTCTTATACGCCGGGTCGCCTTGTACGCCGGCATTTACAGTATATGCTAGTTAACTACTTTGCACAAATACAGACCTTTCAACAGATTTTGCTGCCTCTTCATACCGTTCTTCACAGCAACACATTTTAAGTGCTAGATCAAACTCCTGAATCTGTTCAAAACATCTGGATGCATCCTTGTAGCACTGGCATCTCTTATACAAATATGCTGCCTGTTTTATCTGTATGATAATAATGTATGTTTTAGGTATATGGAATTGTTAGCAATAAAAAATGAACTAGGTTTGCTATTATGAAGCAGAGAAAAAATAATAATGAAACATTTAGAGGAACACTCTTCCTGAATAAGAAGTGTGATGGCTTTTTTGTGCTGTTCTTATGATTGTTCTTGGACAAAATACCACCCATTAACAAAATCAAACCTCTCTCTCCTGTTCTTAGCACACTTCCCCTCAAATCTGACCTGGAGAATTTGGAATCCTGAAGAGCAGATTTAAAGGCAGAAAGTAAGAAACAAAACAGTGGTTCTGTTACAATGAACCAAAATGCATTTTCCTTTCACTAGATATAAATATATACCTGCCTTCATTTATTAGTCTGGATTTCTTATTATCTTCTAAGAGAACAGTCAAGAAATATAAATCCTATCTTGGCAATAGGACATCCAACTCCTAATTTTTAATTCAGAAATCAGAGAAGCATTTGCATTTACCTTTCCAAGTTTTTCATAAATTTTTGCACAATGCTGGTATTCTTTTGCATGAAACAGGCATTTGAGAGCCAAATTTGGCTCAAAACATTCCAGGTAGGTTTTAGCCAGATTTAAGTACTCCATTTGCTTCTCTCTATTAATTAAAAACAAACAAAAACATTTTAAAATTAGAGTGCCAACCAACCAATGAATTCATTTTATTCCCTTAGTGAGATTTAATTCCTTGGTTGAAATAAAGAGGCCCTTATAGCTCATTTTCACATTGGTTAAGAAATGTACTTTGCCTCCAATCCTATGGGTAGTTGGATAAATCAAATATAGGATCTCTTTTCTTACCAACTGGTATCACCTTCAGAAATGAAAAATTCCTGAAATATCAGAAAACGAAGAAAGAGGTTGAATATCTTTTAACTTCTACCTGTAATCCTCAGCCACGAAGGCAGTGAATGTATTGCCTTTGATAAACAGGGAAGATGAAAATAAAAAAAAACCCTATTCCTTGAGATCAGATACTACATATCAATAAAACAGACAATAACAAGCTGTGTGATGGGCTTATTTTTATTTCATTAAACCATTTATGTGCAGTGTTTTATTATCTATTTGAACTGTACTGATATACGTCAAAACCCACCAATCATCCCAATTTTCACATCTTCATGATTTTACCCTCAATATTATCTGGCAGCTCATGGAAATCCTATGTCTCACATTACTTATGTCCACTACCTAATCTCAAATATATAATATTGCAAAATCTTTTGCTGTTCAATGCTAGTCTTCGTTCCCACAAGATTTCCATTCTGCAGTTAAAGGTTTTTGCTGTCTCAAGAATTCTGTCGTCTAGCAAACAGAAATCTCTGCTCTGTTCTGTCCCTTTTATCTATCTACTTGGAGCCAACATTACTTATTTTATTCATGAGAGAAGGGGACATTTAAAACTCTTTTTTCTTAAGTGAAAATAGGCTATATGAAACTCCAGTGATGAAAAGACTGGCAGTAAAAGTCTGACGAGGGAAAGAGACAGTAAGGAAGATGCCGAATAAATAAATATATGTGATTTTTGAGGGAGGAATAATCAATACACTTCTTATAAATCCAGTACTGCACAAAGACACCCCCCCCTAACAAATTAGGTAAGACTTCATATAAAACTCAGCAACATTTTTTCTTTTTTAAAAAACTCTTACTTCGGGTTGATTTTTTTTGACTGAACTGTAAGCACAGTATCATGTGCCAAAGCCAGTTTCTCTTTCTCGTGTGCGCCTCCCTGTTGATAGCATTTTGCAGCAACCTGAAATTAAAATAGCAATATAAAGATATAACAAATTCCAATCTTCTGATGTAGCTCAAGCAGCTATGAAGTAGCATTTCTAAGAAACCTGTACATTCCCACATCCATTTTCTTTCTATATATTTCCTGGACAAACTCTCCCACTCAATGATTTGTGCGAATGAACCTAGTTGACCAGTTCATTTATTAAGGAAGAAAATTCATCTGTTCTGATTTTCTCACTAGACCACTGACATTAGATACTATATTTCTGGAGAGAAAATAATCAGTCTCCACTGCTTACATAGCGGAGTAATGACAAAAATCTTGCTCATTGAGAAATCAGGATATGCCTTGGAAAAGTAGGGAATCTCTTAGGAATATGTGATGCTTGCCAAGAAAGAAGCAAATATTGGAGGCTGATGATGAGATGAGCAACTTGTAAGGGAGTTCAAACTATGAGATGGTTAATTGCTGTATTTGGATATAAATTCTCAAAACTTGAATATATAGAGTTCCATCCATGATGGATGAAAGGGCCGAAAGACATATAGATACAGATGATGAATTATTAATACTGTCTAAATAAACTAAATATAAAGCAATAGTCTGTAATCCTTTTCAAAAATATTTCCCCAAAAGCTTCTTCAACAGTTCAACACTTCTAACGGTTTTAATCACTGAATGAGATTAAAAAGAGTGATTAACCTTCAAGGTGATTCAACTCCTGGTGATTTCATAGATATATTCTTGATATATTTTTCTTGGCAAGACAATGGAAATGATTGGTATTGCTTCCTTCTATATCCCATGGATACAGGGAAATATTCAGTATTTAAATCAATTTCTTTTGTGCTTGCAAGAAGCTGAATCATATCTTTCAATTTGTTTTTTCTTAAGCTACAGTATATATATCATTTATACCAGCGAGACTTGGAAGGTACAGCAAGTATTAACAAGAGATCTGATGTCTTCCAACAAAGATGCCTTCACCAAATCTTAAAGATTCCATGTTTTCACCATACTGTTAACAAAGAAGTGCTCCAAAGGAGTTTCTCCTGCAAATTATACAACACTATCAAATGCAAAAGACTCCAACTTGCAGATAATATTCTCTGCACGGAGAACAATTGAATCCCAAAAATGGCAACGAGATGGACCCACCGACTCCCGATGGCAAAAACTAAGAGGTACCCTCGAAATATATGGTGAAAAACATCCATGGAAGCTTCAAAGACTCTAACCATCATTACTGAGTTTATGTATTTAAAAAGGTCTGAATTCAACTTAGTGTTATTCCTTTCAATTCACTGAAGGTCTTTTAAAAACGCCTCTGAATTTACCTTCCAACACTGATGTCTAGCATAATATTCTCCTTGTGCAATCCATTCTTCTGGAGTTGATGTTTTAACAAACATACTATCCTCAAATTCTAAAAAGAAGGTACAGACAGAAGAATTGTTTAAACATGAGGAAAAGAATTAATGAGTTTACTATGTATTACTAACTGTATATATATTAACTGTATATACTACTCTCTATATACTATCTGACGTATTTCAGTTAAATTAGATATCCCTCAACTTTGAATACATAAAGAATAGAAGCCTGAAGATGGTTCCAGCACGGAGACAAATCCTCTGTGTCCTGGTTACCGACCCAGACTGGATCCTACAACATTGTCCTGGGACATATATATTCACCTTCATTCATAATAGAAATCTCAACTTGGATGAGGAATACTTTTATTTATATTCTTAACTTTAATCCTTAATCCATAAACTGGGTATAAGAGAGGGTTCCAAGAATTTATCTTCTGTGAATATATTCATATTATATTATAACAAAGAAGGTCTTCTACCAAAAATGCTGTCTAGTCTTCATCTGATTAATTGTTCTCCAAAAATGAATTCTGCAGCTCTTAAGATTTGATTTTGGAAAAGGTTTAAATATCAATTATTTTGGCACTGGAAATGTTAACTGTTGTATGTCCTTTGCCTCAGATTGTGGAATTCAAGGCAAGAATATGGGTCTTTACAGTTTTCATTTATACATATATGTCTTATACAAATCATATGCATATGGAGTTGTGGAGGCCATCACCCTGCTCCCCCCTCCTACTGACACCAACTCACACCGATGTCCTCCCTGCCCCCAATGCCCTGGCCCCCCACTGCTAATGCCAGGGGCTGGACAGAACAGCTGGGGTCAGATGTGGCCCATAGGCCATAAAATGCCCACGCCTGCTGTGGGTCTTCACTGCAAATCTGGTTTTCAAAATGTTTTGGAGCGAGAATGGCAATAAGAGGCAAACATTAAGACTTCCCCAACATGAAAAACAGCCCCAATCATGCTACATTTTTTTGGCTTTTTGTGGACTTCATGAAATATCAGGCATTTTATTTGTGAATTTTGATGGTATGTTCATTCTCAGAGCTTGGGGGAATTGCAAGAGACTACAGGCCTAGCTTCACTCTTCCTTAATCAGTGCTTCCTAACAGATGTTTGGGATTCCTCCTCATTTGGGATGCAGTTAGTGAGGTTGGTTTCAAAGTTTTCTTGTAAATGCACAAAAAATAACGTAAAACTGAAATTATTAAGTTAAATTCTTTGAAAATCATTAGACTAACCTTAATTTAGGATAAATACAATGTTGAGCTAAGTTTGACTCTTGATTTCCCAGTACTTTTTTCAGATTGCTTTTCTTCAACTTTACAATCTATCCAACAATCTGGAATTCCTGAATAACTGCCTGTTCAAGTATTAAGTAAGACCAAGACTGCTTAGCCTCTGAGATTAATCATAACTAACTAGAAGTTCTCACTTACTGAGTCAGCCATTGGCAAAGAAATAAGTGAACTGAGCTTCAGTGTGACATATTTAAATACAATTGACAAGAGTGATTGCATATTTTTGGCAAAAACAAAGTATATTTCAAGGACAAGCTAGTGCAGAGTTTTGTGAAATAGTTATATAGGACTTACTTTTATTTTCATCCTTTTTGACAACCTGAACAAATTCTCGTTTGATAAAATATTGAAATGCAGGGGCCCGCCTATCACAGTTTTCATCAAAAATCCACAGATTAACTCTGGCTCTTGTGATAGCAGTATACAACTGCTTTAGCTCTCCATTAAGCATCTAGAAAAATAATGATTCCAGTTCAAGATTAATTCTGTGGGGGCACTTTAAGATGGGCACCGCAATGTTTTAAGCTTTAAGCAACAAGAAATTACACTGTATTATGTGTGTTTATGACACAATTTTCCATTCAAGGAACAAATATCAGCTAAATTCTAATATATTATCAAAATACTATTTCACTGTACTTATCTTTACTCATCAGTTACCATTATATAAACTGCAAAACAGAGGATGTAAACAAGAATTATTTCCACACAAAAGTTTGACTTTTGTTTGACTCATACTAAGGACTGTTCCATTATGCCATTCTTTTCATGCCAGTTGATAGTAAGATCATTGTTGACTTTAAAAGTTGGCAATGTATTTTCTCTTTTGCTCTGTTTACATTCCTTTCTTTTATATTTCAGGTTATTTTATACTATAACCTAGGAATAAGAACTCTACAATGAATATTTTCTTAAAAAACAAACTAAAACATCCTAGATAAACAAATAAATAAAACAATACTTTATATTCACCTTCTTGACTATTCAGAGATTCTCCTTAGAATTTTTTTTTGCATTCCTGGGTTTCATTCAGAGTTCAGTCATAACAGGTTTCAGCTTTATATATTTATTCTTTAATTTCAGTGAATTAACTCAGCCCCATCCCTAAAATTGAAGATTAACTATTTGAACCCTAACTATAAGCTGATTTGATATACAAAAGATACCAATTTAAAAAATGGGTGTGCACTGCAAGGGGCATTACAAGTAATCTTTAACTTATAACCATGGTGACGAATCTATGGCATGCATGCCAGAGGCAGCACACGGAGCCGTCTCTGGTGGCACGTGAGCTATTGCTGGGCCGAGCTGCTCCCTCCTCCTCTTTGCGCATGGACAGCTTTCCGCAGAGCTGCACATGCGCAGCTCTCTGCACATGCACAGTCTGGGAATAGGCAAGAGGCTATAAAGGGAGCAACTTTCAGCAGAAGCAGGCACGGAAAGCGAGACAGCAGCCCTATGTGCGTCCCCATGCACGAGCGTGCGCCTGCCCTGCCAGCATCTTCGGCAAAAGAGCGCAGGCGGGCAGTGGAAGGCACGAAGAGCCCCAATCTCAGCACAGCCCCTCCTCAGAAGAGCTGCGGGGCTCAGGAGCCTCCCCCATGCCCCCCTACCCGCTGAGCAAGATGCCTTCCTGCCCACTGCCCCACCTGCCAGAGCAACATCAAGTTGGCCATGCCCACCATGGCCACGCCCACCCAGTCTACCATTTCCACCATAGCCATGCCCACCTGGCATCCAGCAATACATAAGTGGGATTTGGGTTGCAGTTTGGGCGTTCGGTCTCTAAAAGATTCGCCACCATTGACTTATAACCTTTGTGTAATGACCATTCAAAATTACACCAGTGTTGAAAAAAGTTATTTTTTTACAATTACTGTTAACAAATCAGCAGCATGATATGATTGTATTTGATTTCTGTTTTCTGCACAAAATACATTTGCATTTGCTTCTGTTACATTTCAAACTGTTATTTTCAACCAATTTCTCCAAATTATGGTCATTTTAATTTTTACTTCTATCTTTCAAGGTAATTAGCTATTCTATCCAATTTTATATCAGTTGCAGAACCGATAAGCGCTTCTCCATCCAAATAATTAATAAATACATTCTGAACAATAAAATACTATTTAACATGTCTCTTCCATCTGATGAGGAATCATCTGATGATAAATATTGAGTACATTTTTAACTAGCTAATCCATACAATCATGCTTACACCATACTTTAGTTTATGTATCAGCATGATATGGAATATTCTGAACATTTAGATGTTTTATCTGACAATCACCTTATACATTTCTGGATTTAGAACTGAATGTCTTCTTTTTGCAACAACATCTTTCTCCAAGGGTACTTCGATTATTGGCTTGATTTCTTGATCAGGCAAATCAGTGTGAGGTATAAAAGAAGAAATTACTTTCCATTCTTTGTAAGCCTAAAAATATAAGGATTATTTTTTTAAAAAAATTAAACAATGATGGCACAACAGCTCACAGATGTTTGGAACAAATTAATTTTAGAAAGGATCCCAAACAATTGAAAGATAGCTATTCTATTAAAACCATTTAATAAATAGAAATTAATCAGCAATATTTTTTTCTATTTCTTCTATGCCACTAGTTTTGAAGAGATGTATAAACTATTTAATTTCCTTCCAAATGTAGATAATGTTGTCTAGTCTCTGTAGCAGAACACCCTTAAAAAGATCTATTGTATATACGAATGATTATTAAAATTCACCCATTGATTCTGACATAATTTTTACATAATAAAATGGAGAACATACTACAAGGGATTAAAGTTGAAAGAACCATTTATTGCTTATTGATATTTTTAAAACTATCATTGGAATAGTATGCTTTCTGTATTTTGATCTAGTGCATTTTGCTCTAGTAGTTAAGGCACTAGGCTAGAAACCAGGAGATTGTGAGTTCTAATCCCACTTTAGCCATGAAAACTGGCTGGATGATTTAAGGCCAATCAGCTCCACACACCTCAGAAAGTCATTGTGGGGAAAATAGGAGGATGAAGGAATAGTCTTCTGCTTTGAGTTATTTATAAAAGATATAAAATCAGGGTAAAAAAGTTTAAATAAAGTCTTTTTTGTCTTCTGGTAGAAAGATTGTGAAGGCTATAGCTCCAGGTGTTCTTAGAGGAGATCCTTTCTACATCTTTCACAGTCTGAGTTTAAACTTAGATTTGGTATAGACATAGCCCTCTTCTCCTGATGGGCAATCTGTACTTAGACAAACAAAGAATGTGCTATCCTGTTAATCTTCTAGATGTTTTGATACCACAGAACACAGTATCTTGATGAAGCGTTTTGGGAACTGGAAGTTAGAAACATTGCTTTTCAATAATTCTTTCTGAGTTTTACCAGATATAGTTTCAGAAGACAAATCCAGGTTTTCAGAATTATCCTAAAGATTTTTGTAATATTTATCCTGTTTTCCAAGTTATTTAATGTTTATATGAAACTTTTGAGAACTTTTGATTTGGAGATAGTTGCCAAATGCTGGTGAAGCTCAATACTTGGTAGTAAAAGATTATATGAGGAACAACGAATTAAAACTGAATCTGGTTGCAGGTAATATTGCTTCAGCCATTTGTCTGAAATGGTGTAGAGTTTCCTGCCTGAGCAGGGGGTTGGACTCGATGACCTCCAAAGTCCCTTCCAACTTTACTACTACTACTACTACTACTACTACTACTACTACTACTACTACTACTACTATTTTTCAAAGGATGAACTTGAGGATAAAGGTAATATTACTGTTTTGTATAGAGCTGCAAACTCCTAAAAAGTAGAGTTGACAATCTGGAGTTTTATGTAACCACACTTACAATGTACTTTGGTGTGAAGGACTTTTATCACCTTTGACTATAAAACCAATTACATTCCTTTCTGAAGAACATATGCATTAATAATAATAATAATAAAATTGGAAGGGACCTTGGAGGTCATCAGGTCCAACCCCCTGCTCAAGCAGGTAACTCTATACCATTTCGGACAAATGGCTGTCCAGTTTCTTCTTAAAAACTTCCAGTGTTGGAGCATTCACCGCTTCTGGAGGCAGGTTGTTCCACTGGTTAATTGTTCTAACTGTCAGGAAGTTTCTCCTTAGTTCTACGTTGCTTCTCTCCTTGATTAGTTTCCATCCGTTGCTTCTTGTCCTACCTTCAGGCGCTTTGGAAAATAGCTTGACTCCCTCTTCTCTGTGGCAGCCCCTGAGATATTGAACACTGCTATCATGTCCCCCCTCTTCATTTAAACTATACATACCCAATTCCATCAACCTTTCCTTATATGTTTTAACCTCCAGTCCCCTAATCATCTTTGTTGCTCTTCTCTGTACTCTTTCTAGAGTCTAAACATCTTTTTTATATCATGGTGACCAAAACTGGATGCAGCATTCCAAGTGTGGCCTTACCAAGGCATTATAGAGTGATATTAATACTTCGCGTGATCTTGATTCTATCCCTGTTAATGCAGCCTAGCACGGTGTTGGCTTTTTTGGCAGCTGCAGCATACTGCTGGCTCATATTTAAATGATTGTCCACTAGGATTCCGAGATCCCTCTCACAGTTACTACTATTGAGCAAGGTACCCCTATACTATACCTATACATCTGGTTTTTCTTGCCTAAATTTAGAGCCTTACTTTTTTCACCATTGAATTTCATTTTGTTAGATAGCGCCCAGTGTTCAAGTCTCTCCAGATCCTCCTGTATCCTAAGCCTGTCTTCTGGAGTGTTGGCTATTCCTGCCAGCTTGGTGTGGTCTGCAAATTTGATGAGTTCCCCATCTATCTCCTCATCCAAATCATTGATGAAGATGTTGAAGGGCACTGGGCCCAGAACAGAGCACCCCACTACACACTTCCCTCCATGTAGATGTGGTTCCATTGAGGACCACACGCTGAATACAGCTGGTCAGCCAGCTACGGATCCATCTGGTGGTGATGCTATCTAACCCGCATTTTTCTATCTTATCAAGTAGTAGACTGTGATCTACTTTGTCAAATGCCTTACTGAAGTCCAAGTAAATGATATCCACAGCATTCCTCTGGTCCACTAATTTTGTCACTTGGTCAAAGAATGCAATAAGGTTTGTCTGGCATGATCTGTTTTTGACAAACCCGTGTTGGCTTTTAGTAATGACTTGGTTTGCCTGTAAGTATTTGCTGATTCGTTGTTTGATTATCTTTTTCAGAATCTTCCCAGGTATTGATGTCAGGCTGATAGGTCTGTAATTTCCTGGATCCATTTTTTTCCCCTTTTTTGAAGATGGAAACTACATCAGCATTGATGTCAAGACTGGATTATTATAATAAATTGTTACTGAGATAATCTTTAAAGAAAAATCAAAACTGTAACTGGCAGCAGAGAAGGTGAACAGCCCTTCTAAAAAGATCACATTATCTGTGTTAAAAAACTCTGCATTTATTCACCTGGATAGCTTTCCTATACTGGATTCGCAAGAGACATGTAAAAGTTTTGAAGGATTTTGTGAGAAAGGACAAAGATAAAATCGAAAGTAATCAACTCCTAAGACATTATTTGAAGGGATTAAGGATCACAATAAAAATAAAAGAAAGAAATATAAAGTTAATTTATTTATTTGATCACAGTAAAAATAGATATACTGTATTGTTATTTCTGATTTACCTTAACAGACTTTGCTGATCAGACTGAATGATGAATATTTAAGGATTTATTTATAGATAAGAGTGGAAATATTTATTATATTTTAAAGGAAGGTGATAAGTTATTAAAATTGTTTATATTTGTAAAGTAGGAAGTCATTCCTTTTTTCTTTACTGTATTATTTTTTCTTTTGTTTTTGTTTCTATTTTTCTCTTCTTTTCTGCACTATTTCTTCTTATTTTTAGTTAATATTAGTTTTTATCTTTTTAATTGTAATATTTAATACAATTACCATAAAAAAGAAAAAACCATATTAATTGTAGATCCAATTCCAGATGATTACTACAGGTTAGAAAACTTTATGAATAGTAGTTCAAGTCCCAATTATCTGCTGGATTTTCCACATATTCATATTATACAAAGACTGCCACAGATTAATAATTAATTTTATTTTTCTGTGGCAGATTTGAGTTACAGAAACTACCATGAGAAATCAGATAGGCTGCTGACTTATTATATTTTATAAGAAAACTAAGTGTACATCTTTTCATGTCTGACGTTTAGAGCTTTATGGTAATTATGTTGGATTTTATTACTATTTTTTATTATATTTTGACAGGCTGTATTAGATCCACTGGGTGTGGATAGTATACAAATTTGCAAAATGAAGAAATAAATACCATTTCTGTCTCAAATGATAAGTGCTTATTCCCTTATTAATGTATCCAAAGTATCCAAAACAAGAGATATGAGGTCACATCTCTATACTATCCTAAGACTTCCAATTCAAGAAAGTTATAATAGTTAAAAAGTGTAAAATAGTAGTACGTCACAAAAATCAAACTAGAATGTGATAGTATTAAGATAGTACTGTTTCTATACTATGTAAAAGAAAATTAGATATCTCCAGATTCTCAGTAATTTACCTACCTCTGAATCTGTAAAAAAGTTGTAAAGGAGCACATCATCAAATTCCAAGCCTTTTGCTTCATAAATTGTTAGCACAAGGGCCAAGTTAAGCTCCTCGGGGATATTTTTCTTGGTCCTTTCACTAGCTACCAGTATTGCCTATACCAAAATAGAGAAAAAAGAGTGTCAAAGAATAGTAATCAGATGGACAGAAAACTAATTTGTTGTACTTATTAAGCAGACAATAAAGAACCAGAACAATCAAGTGACATAAATACCATAAATACTGTTCATGCAAGTTATGCGAGGTTGAATACAGAAACTGAAATTACAATCACATTTTTATTGGCCTCCATTCCTTTAATATTCTGACTTCAAACCATAACTGTATGACAAGGTGCATATTGTACACTACAGTTATCTAGTTTACAGGAGATAAACTGTAATAAAAAAAATTTCATTAATAATAAAATCCCACATATTTCATTTTGCTTGAAAAAGATCTAAACTGGTATTAATGAAATTATTATCTGAACGTTGTAATTTACAAAGTAATGATAATATTAGAGATGACAGGGGAAAAAGTGAATGGTTGTTATATGTATTAAATCAGAAATCACCTAAAGAATTTCCTATGCTTCCTGCCTCACCAAAGGCTTACCTGGTGGGCTCCAAATTCTATTGGCTGTGTTTTTCTTTTATTGCCTTTTAGCAAAATTGCCAGATCACTAACACTGCAAGATTCCAACACAGTAGGCTTAGGTCCATCAAAGAGACCTCTATCTCTAGGAAGACGATCAAAAGATTCTGGGAAATACCACTGAAGCAGATCAACAACTCCTGAGGCTAAATTAAGAATCCCTGCAAACAAAGAGCAGCAGGCAGAATTAGCACATCAACGCAGTCTCTCTCATGTAGGAAAAAAAACAAAAACCAGTAATGGATAGCAATTTTGAGAACTTGATAAATATCTGACTTTAAAAACACAAACACAACAGGAAAAAAAATCTTAGAACTAGAGTCTATAAAGTATTGAGTTGCATATTTCTTTTCCATATTTCTAAATGTTTCTATAATTACATGGATCCCATGAGTATATCAGTGCAAAGAAATGGGGAATATCTGAATTGGTGCTGTCACTCAGCTGCTCTGAAATCTTAAAACAGCAGTAAATTAGACCTTTAGTCTGCACAAATTGCTGATAGCTATTTCCATAGGAAGGAGCTTTTTAGAGTCTCAGACATTTAAACTGGAGATATTAAAAGACAAACCTGGGAATTTCTACATTTCACTCAAGAAGTCCATAGTTCAGAGTTTATACATTATTAAGTTTGTAATGTTATTTCAGTCTATAAAACTAATATCTTAAAATTGCAGGCAGATCTGCTTTTAAGAAATAAGAGAATATACATTTTCAATACAGGTATCCTCAGGTCAGAATGGGACAACTTGCTGTGGCCAACTTGCTGTCGCCAAGTCACCACAGCCAACTTGCCATGGCTAGCTTGCCACAGAACAATTTGCCATGGCCAACTCATCACAGGACAATTCAACAATTCAATTTAATTATTTAAAATAATTAAAGAATTATTTTAATTTTTGTCATTCACTTTTCCCTTTTGACCGTCCTTTGGCATCCTTTCTTTAATGATTTTATTTCACCATTTCTTGGTATTAATGTTAAGTCTTGTGCCACGGCAAGTTGTTCCATGGTGAATTGGCCACGGTTGGGTTGTCCCATGGCAAGATGGCTGTGGTGAGTTGGCCATGATGAGTTGGCCACAATGAGCTGTCCTAGATTCTTCTCAGATTATGATCATTCATTCAGCACCATTCAAAGTTATGAATTCACTGTATGAGTGATATTTAAACTATGCTTCAGTATTTTAGCCACTACACCTTCCATGGTCATAACTGCAATCCAGGTGCTCAGAACCCAACTTACAATTATGATTCTAGCAAGCCACGGTTATGTGTTCATTTCTGATATTCCCTACTAGCTTCCACAAGCAAAGTCAATAGGGAAGCTGGCAGGAAGTTGGAAGTTGTAGTTACATAAGATCCTCACCCACCCCCCATGTGTCTTCACTTAATGACTGCTGTTCTAGAATGCTGTTGCTAGCAGTGCAATCACATGACATTATGTTTTACAACTGCATTGTTTAGCAATGGCAATTGCAGCTCCAATTGCCATTGTAAGCTGAGTCTAAATTATTATTTTTTCCTCCAAAACTATAACTAAATTTTTCAGGCCTTTGTCTCTCCAACTCACCCCATTACCATACCATAAATACAGACACATGTATATCAAATAATAAGATAACAATAAAAGTATGATACCTGAATGAGACCTGTAGTTCTGATAAAGCTCATATATCCTTCTTGGCTTTCTAACCAAATACTGCTTGTCACTAGAACTTAGGCTGGCATAATGAAAAAGTGATTTCAAATCATTGAAACGAAAAGCTACTCCTTTCATGATGCTTTGTGCAGTGTCACCAGTCAAGAACATTGCATTAGGATCCTCAATGCAATTCATTAGCAACATTATTTCTGCCTGAGTGAAGTCCTGAATTTCATCCCCATAAAGTTCATGGATGCACCATGGCAATTCACCAAGTTTTGAAAGCTGCTGAGACAACTTATACAGTAAGTCTTCTTCATCAAAGTAATTTCCCTGTGATTTTATTTGCTGATACAGGCAAAAAAGTCGGTAGATTTCACCACGATCTTCTTTGAAATCTGGGGACCTTTTTCGTCCTAGATTTTTATATTCTTCTTCAGTCAGTATGCCTTGGTAGCTGTTCAGAGCTTCAAAAGAGCCTTTCAGAAATGATTTTATTTCTTTCCAAATCAATGTTGGGTTATAGGGACATTTGCTTTTGACCATTTTAGGCCAAATTTCATCAGCAAATATGTTATAAGTCACAAAGATTCGAGGGTCACACTCTTTTGTATAACTTTCTGTAGCCTTTTCATCTTCATCATAATCTATTTCCCCATCAATGTCTTCATCTTCTTCTTCCCAATTTATGATTGCCAAGTCTTCTGTAGTAGACCATCCATCAACAATATGTTTAAGGCTTCCATCTTCATTTCTGGGGAAAAATGGCTCAGGCACAGAGGCATCCAGTAAGAGCAACAACTGTTTGGTGGTAAGGAAGAGTGGGAAATTTTCATCTTTGACATCCTGAAGTCTGTAGATATTCGATTCAAGTGGCTTGAAGTGACAGGTTGCCTTGGAAGACTTACTAAGCTCAGTGAAGTTTCTCTTAACTTCTTGGCACAGAACATGATTTTTAGTTACAAAGATTTGATGCAGGTGCACTAGTTTGTCAGATTCTTCCTCAACAGGTTTCTCACCCTCATCACATTCAGATAGTAAATTCATTGAGTCCACTGAAGTCAAAGTGTCCCACTCAACTTCATTTTCTTTTTTAGCACTATTCATATTGAAAGAGGTTTTCAAATCTGTCAAATGATCAGGATCACTACCGAGTTCACTTTTATCATGATTTATGTCTCCTACGTTCTCATTTCCCAGCCGTGTACTGTATTTTAATCTATGCCACTTCTGTCTGACTAACAATGGGCCTCCTGCTAACTCTGCTTTCTCCCAATAGGAACTGAATTTTTTCCAAAGTCTATATAGACAACATGTAGTTTTTCCTGTTCCACTCCGCCCAATCAAGATTATTGGCTCCAACGGTTTGAGGTTCAAGTCAATAACTGCATATTCTAATTCACCAACTCTAAAGGGATATTCAACAGTATAAGTTATATCATTTAGGATGTTAAATGCCATGTTAGTACTGAAACTATGAAACTTCATTACATTGTACTCAGTTTCAACTGTACGTGCTGGGGGAAAATATTCAAGAAGTGCATGATCTTTCACTTTTTCTGTTTTGGTGACTTCCACATAAATGAGAGGAATACGCTTTTGTGTTTTCAGATTAGAAGATATGGAGCCTGTATTTATACCTTTGAGCTTTTTTCTCAGGATACAATCCAGCCCACGATTGTATGCAATGCAAACAGTGTCAATGGCATGGCTGAGTTTGTCATGATCAAGAACAATATCCCATAGACGAATTATTTCTGTATAAACTCTTCCATTTTTTTCTCCTGAGCTGCAAGCATCATTCTCTGTTATCTTATCTTGTCTTTCACTGCAACGAGGAGAAAAATCTACTGCCAACTCCCACAGCATTCTTGACCCCTTGGACAACTTTGCTTCATAGAGCTGAATGTCACCTTTCAAATGTTTCAGATGCTTTTGAAGACTTTGAGTCCATTCTCCATTTCCCAGTTGCTGAATAACAAACATTACTCTGTTTTTTATTTGACGAGGCATGCTTTTGTCCTTCAGCTTCTTTAGCATTTCAGATGTACACTCAATTTCCCATGTCATGTTATCAAAGTCCTGAATGTACATCTCTACGTCCTGGAACTGATCATTGTCCTGAATAGGTTCTTCCCCTTCCTGTTTGCATTCCTTGGGTTCTTTCTGGGCTTTTTCCTTCAAGTCATTTTTACTCAGGCAAGCATCCTTTTTACTGTAAGCTATCTTCTGCTGGCCACAGGACTTTTTATGTTTGATCTCCTTGATTTCAGTTTTTGCTACTGAAGATAACTCCTTTGGTTTCTCAAATGTCTCTGAATCAATATTTGCTGAAAATTCACCAAATTCAACTTTCTGCATTAGCAATGTGATTTCCTGCAAAATACATTCTTTCTGCGTTAGTAGCCTATTCTTGAACGAATCATGTTCTTTTTCTTTATCTGTATTTGGCCCCATGATTAATGATATTTCTATAGATGTTGCATTTGATAATGTGCTTGAAGAATGGGCAGAATTTTTTGCTTGTGACCTGCTTAAACCTGCAGTGGATTTTTGTCCCATTGCATCATATCGGTATCTTTTCTTGTTTTCACTTAGAGCATGATTCCAAGCAATAAGCATTGGGTCATTCTTTTTTATTTTGTACCGTATATCTCTACCTAAATTATTTTTCAAATTACAGTTAATGTCAAACTTTGCTAGCAAGGCTAGAACTTTTGTAATCTGCTTTGTCAGATTTTTCTGAAAGACAATGTGCAATATTGTGTCCCCATTTTTGTTTTGGGTATTTGGATTTAGATGTGGAAATGTGGATGGATTTGATTTGTACAATTTTAGAAGATGACTCAGGATACTGATACCAGCATCATCTAGAGAAAAAAAGTCAGGCATTTTTTAAATTATTATTTTTACAGTATATTTAAATGAGAATTATTTTCTCTTCTATGCAATGTTCAATAGTTCGTAACTATTTCTTTTAAAGTAGTTCACTACTTATAACCTGTTCTCTCCTCTAAGTTAGCTACAGGATTCAACTATAACTATCCAGTCTAATTAAATATTTTATTCAGGATAAGGATTAAGGAACAATAACAAACAAAACTCAAGCTTCATAGTATTTAGCTAAATAGCATTTTAGAAATTTGCAATAAATCTTTTTTTATATTCTTTTTGTCTTACAGCTTCTTCTGGTATACATACTATTCTGAAATCTCTCCTCTACCCAAAATCTGGAATAAATTTTAGGCAGCAGGTAGCATGAGGGAAAAAAATTAAAATAGATGCTTCACACAATGTTATCAGCATGAAATATTAATCAATGTGAATTAATGCTTCCCACTTCCTTAAAATATAAGCGGTTTATATGATGGGATTTGGCCTTATTTCCTTTTCTAGATGCTTCTTTCCATTTTACCATGGCATAAAAGGAATGGAAAATTTCTATCTCCTAAAAGATTGATTAAATTTATAGAACACAGGAGAGCACTACTGAAAATATAACAACTTTGCATTTTTATCTTTTAATCCCCACATAGCACCAAAGGGTATGAGAGGGTTACGGAATGCATATGAAATATGCCAGGAAAGGAAAATTGCTTTAAACTACGAGGAATATAAACCAAAGTATTATGAACCAGACTCTCCATAGACATTTTTCTCCCTGCTGCCTATCATCCCCTTGTTACACAAAAGAGAGAGAGGTAACCTGGAAACGTCTATAGGCAAGACAATTTATTATTGAAACGCAGATTTTTGACATTCCCTTCCTACAGGTCATATGAGATATCTTGATGGGAATGATGAAGGGGATGGTAACAGGATGATGTTACATATGTTTGATAGTTATCTAATCCATCTCTTTTGACTCAAGGCAAAATCTCACCTTTTTTATCAAGATAAATTGACAATGCAGAATGTAATGGCGTGTCATTTCTCCAAATGGATAAACAACTAGGATCTGCACCAGATTTCAAGAACAAATATGCCAATTCGAAATCATTCTTGTTTAAACATTCCAGAAGTGGTTTCTCCTGAGTAGTTCCAATCCCTTCAGGTGGGGCTGCATAAGAAATACCATAAACATATATATGATATAACAGAATGAAACAGATATGTCAAACATAAGGCCGGCGGGCCGCATCCGGCCCAATATGTGGTTCCGTCCGGCCCGGGGATCTGCTCTGGAAAGAGCAAAGGACTGGCCTGCCGCACCTCAACCTGGCCCAAGCCGCCCAGTCCCTGATCTACAACCTGGTTGTGTCCATCAAAACCAGAATGCGTTCAGCCTGAAATCCACGGGGAAGCCCCGCTCTGTTTCTGGGTGTGCATGCAAGAGGAGTCCGGCATCCCTGCTGGCTGTCTTGTCCCACAGGCTGACTTCACCCAGGACACCAGTGCTGGCCATCTCCTGTGCGCATACCCAGGGAGCGGGGCAGAGGTGGTGAATCTTAGTCTGAGCACGTTCTGACTTTGATGCAACGCAACCAGGTTGCACCATCCCCACCAGCCTCGCAGCCACGAGGCTTTCCTTTCACTGGGACAGACCCCCCCCCCATGAGGGATAGGAAGACTGGCAGCAACACGGTAGCCCTGGCACTCTCTCCCCCTTTCTCAGTGACAAGTCATTCCACTGATTGTAATAGAATCACAGATTCAGAGCTGGAAGAGACTCTAGAGGTCTTCTAGTCCAACCCCCTGCTCAAGCAGGAAGCCCTATACCATTCTGGATAAATGTTATCCAGTCTCTTCTTGAAAACCTCCAGTGATGGAGTATCCACAACTTCTGGTGGCAAGCTGTTCCACTGGTTAATTGTCCTCTCTGTTAGGAAGTTTCTCCTTAGTTCTAAGTTGCTTCTCTCCTTGAATAGTTTTCTGTCCTGCCTTTTGGTGCTTTGGAGAATAGATTGACCTCCCCCTTCTTTGTAGCAACCCCTCAAATATTGGAAGACTGCTAGCCTCTAGCCCCCTAATCATATTTGTTGCTCTTTTCTGCACTTTTTCTAGATTCTCAAAATCTTTTTATTCTGGTTTATTTATAATACATAACATTATAATGCCAGAGATCTGAAAATAAATTCAGATCATTATTTCAGCTGGTTAGGGAAAAAAATCTTCAGGGGAAAAAAAAAAAATTCTCCAGAAGACATGAAACATTCAACAGTGTGAACTGCTACCAATGCATTTAGGCTAACTACCAATGCATTTAGGCTAACACACTCAAGTTTGAAATGAATATGGTATCTTACTTTAAATAACAGAGCTGTAAAAAAAATGCCGATTGTTCCCCAGAAGAACCTACCGTAGTTACTTTTCAAGCAGAAGATAAAAGCTACCAGATCTTAGCTGCAAAACTGAAAATCACTAGGTGGCAGCAAGGATTCAGGTTTTGCACAATTCTTTGTTACCATTTAGTTATTGCCTAGATTTTTGTAATTCAGAGCTGGTAATTCTATAAAATAATGCTTAGAAGCTGAAACACTACCTTGCAGCTGATTCTGAGTACAGGTATGGTGTCAAAGGAATTTCAAAACAATAAGTTTTGAATAATAACAAGTAGGGAAGAAAGATTATTCTCTATCTTAAGAGGAAAAGGAAACATTGGGAGAGATGGGAAAGATGGAGAGGAAGAGGAAAGATTGAAAAAAGCTGATATTCCTCCTTTGGGATTAATCTTATTCATTAGAATTAAGTGCTCTCAGTAATCTTCTCTCATTAGTTTAACTTCATTTTCAAACCTTTTAACTACCAGTATCAAGTCATCCATTCTTAACAATACTAATTGCTCACTGTAATATATACAACTCAACTTAGTTTGATTGTATGACCTTAAATAAAATATTTTATCTTAACTATTTTATTTGGCAAATTCCTGATTATGTGGAGTTCTAAAGAAAAATACCAAGAATTTTTCAACATACATAAATGAAAATATCAAATCCTTAAAAAAAATATTTTTTATTTTTCTTCACATGCAGATCTAGATCTTCAATATATTAAAAGCTCACCTCCTCTTTCTATCAAGCATCTTATGAGCTGTACTCGATGCTTATGATTCTTATTTATATTTTTCAAGACGGTCCCAATGTCCACGTCCGAAAGGGAACAGTTCTTAAGTAATCTATCTCCCGGTGTCATTTCCCCTGTGGCCTTTCCGGTCAACAGTAACAAAACTTCATGCCACATATGCTTCTCCAATAATAACTTTATAAAGCCATTGGCACAAATAGGAGAAATCTCACAGGCAAGGTTTTCAGGAATCTCTGAAATAAATTAACGTTTAAAAAAGGAACTATCAGATACAGATAATTTGATCTCACTTGCATAATATATACATTCTCTATTTAGTCCACATATAGTGATCCTGGATGGTTGCAGCTTTAATGCTATTTATTTAATGATTCCCACCATGCATTGCAGAACAGCGTTTTTCAATGAAAGCAGAAGCCCTATAAATTGTTCAAATAATACAGTGAAGATGTAATCATGATTCCCTTCACGAATGAAGGCAAGTCAGCCTTAGTAACAATTTATCTTTTCCTGTCAGCTTTAAGTTTAGCTCAGTATTACATTTTCATAATATAGCTGGATGTTATATTTGTTTCAAATGTATCAGCCCCTAAACCTGTTCTTGGGATCTTCATCTCCTATCTCCTCTATCTGAATTCCAAGATGTAGCTGATTCATGCTAGTGAAAATTTGGAACTGGAAATAAGGCGCTACTGTCTGTTTAACTCTGCTCTGGAATCTAAGGTAGAGTAGGGAATCTTCATGCCTAGGCCAGGGGTAGGCAACCTCGGCTCTTTTATGACGCATGGACTTCAACTCCCAGAATTCTAGGCTTTTAAATAAATGTTTCCTGTTTCCCCTTTTAACCAAAGTTTTAGGTCCAATCAGACTTGTAGAATGTAGTGTTAATATAGTTGGAGCAAAAGTTTTTTTTAATATTATGTTTATTAATTTATTATTAAAATTTATTATTAAATTTATTATTAAAAAGTGTCCAACAACTGAAGCTTTCTGGATTGTTTACAATAAGAACATTAAAAATACAATTTGAATATAATGTATACAATGCAATCAAAACAAAATTAAAACACAATATAAATTATGCAAATAAAAAGCAGTCATTAAAAATTGGAATAACTTGAATTGAAATATGATTAAAAGTCAATTAAAAAACTAAGGAAAATAAAAATGTCTTCAGTTGATGCTGAATGATGCCAACAGGGGGATTAGTTGATCCTCTATGGAAGGAATTCCATGAATGGGATGTGACAGAGAACATTCTCATTTCTAGAGGCCTACTCCATACAATAACTATAGCAAAATAACTGCTATACTAAACAGCATACATGAAACTTAGATCTACAGAGTAACGCCAGGAAAGAGTCACCTATATACAAATAAGCCCAACAAGTACAGACAAAGAATGGGAATCATAAAACTATCTGTGAACACTACAAGAGATAGATAGCTTAGATGAAATTACTTACTGGATATTTTCTTTCAGAATCCCAACTCAAAGCAAAAGTCATCAGAAAATGGCAAATCACCTTTGCAAACATAGAGATTTCTCCTAAAATTGTGTCTAACTCAGGGGTATCAAACTTCCAGCCCGTGGGCCAGTTGCATCATATGGAGGCCATGCCCACCCCAGCTCCAGCAATGCAAAAAAAGTCGCAATACGTCATGACATGTCACATGACGTGGCGAGTTTGATACTCATGGTCTAACTATTCAACTGACTAATACTCTAGTTCTAATTCTCCTCTATCCTTTTTTGATGAAAAAAAACAATACAATTATATACAATAAATATGGAAGAAGGGAATAAAGCTTAAAACTAGCTGAAAGCAATTTTATTCCATAAATATTCCACTGATACCTGAAAATGGGAAAAGTGGGATCTTATTTGTAAGATAAATAGGACTGGATTATGTTGTGAAAATAGTTAAAACAGCAAAGACAGATTTGTTTGATTAGTATGTGAAGAGTACAAATAAAATATATGAACCAAAAATAAGCATTATTTACAATAATGCTGAAGCCTACAAGATGGAAAGCACAAGGTCCCAAATCTGCTATCCTGAAAGTCTCCTGGTCATCCTATACTTGTCTCACTATCACTGTATGCTTGGCAATTCCTACTAATATCACATCATTTAGGGAAGAGGTCCCCAACATTTTGGGTACCAGGAACTTGTTCTGTGGAGAAAGGTTTTTCTGTGGACCGGAGAGTGCGTGGTTTTGTGTGCTGCCTGCATCCCACAGATGGGACTTTGCTTGTTTGTGCGGACTGGTTGTGGGCATGCTGCGGTCCAGTACCGGTCCACGGACCGGGGGTTGGGGACTCCTAATCTAAGGCGCATCTCACCTTACTCTCGCCCTTAGTGTGTGAAAGGGCTCTCACATTTTTTGCTGCTGTTCTAATAATCAGAAATTCAAATTGGAAAAACTGCTGGCTATGTAGCATAGAGACACAGTTACTAGAAGATTAGTCTAGTCCCTATCTCCCTAAAGTGTTAAATCAATGTAAACAAAATCAAACATTTTTAAAAGAATAAATTATAACTACCTACTCCATCATTTTTTCTCTAAGAATTAAAATCCAGATATTGAATGTGGAAGGAAATTGCAGTTATACTCAAATACGTAATATGATAACTTTTAAGAAATTAAGGCAAATTAAGAAAAAAAAAAAGAAATTGTAATATTCCTGATAACTAATGGAATAGATCATTGCCTCAAATCTCTGTAACACTAGGGAATTTCAGACTATAACAGATAACAAGAAGATCCTAAATAAAACCTAAATGAAAAAGATATTGATAACCTGCAAAAGAAGGTACAAAGATTTCTTGTAACTGTTTTGGAGACCAAGATAATAATACAGAAGCAAAAGAACTTGACCTATGTAGTAAAATAGCCTGGCACAAAAATAAAGTCAGTTGCTTAATAAGGCAACAAAATAATACTTTGGAGGTAGAGAAAGATAGATCCCATACAGTTAGAAAATATTACTAAATGGAAAAGGAAAAAAAGATAAGGAAATACAGCTATGTGAAACTTTGTATGCTGCAAATCTACAACAATTTCTACTTCAACAAGCAAAACTGATGGGAGCAATCAATAAACAAGAAAATTGATGAGAGCCACAATGGTGCAGTATTGGTTCAAGGTTGACTCAGCCTTACATCCTTCCGAGATTGGTAAAATGAGGACCCAGGTTGCTGGGAGGCAATAGGCTGATATTTGTAAACCACTCAGTGCTGTAGAGCACTATGGGGCAGTATATAAGCCTAAGTGCTATTGCTAATATCATTCTAAATTGAGAAAACCTCCAAAATGATTGAGACAGTGAACATCCCATCTTGTGTAACTCTGTACTCCTCATATAGCTCTGGAGATTTCTTAGAAGCCACAAACTGTTAGGCAAGGATTATCTAAGAACTTAATATGTTTACCCTGAGAAATAACAAAGCAATCCAAAGATCATTACCTACATTAGTCCATGAACTTTGAATATCAGCTAGAGTGTCCCTGATTAACCAGTATTGGAACCACGAAGGTCAAATGTTTGACATCTTAAAGCTATGGCTCAGGCATGTAGGTAATCACAGAATCATATGGTTCTTTTAATCTGAAAGATTGGCAGTACCTGGGACCATAGATGGTTTTGGTAGGAAATGAAATATGGTTGTAATAGTCCAGAATGGTATCAGTCATTGTTGAATAATCAATTCTCACTAAAAAGGAAGCCTTCAGTTCTATAGCTAAATCCACACCCCAGTTCTTTAGCTATAACCCACATCCCAGAGCCGGATATGGCAACTCAGAGAAATGCCAGACTCCAACTTAAATCATACTCCAGCACAGCAAATCATATTATGTCTGTCTAAAAAAATCTAGAGCAGTGATTCTCAACCTTTCTAATGCCGTGACCCCATAATACAGTTCCCCAGGTTGCGGTGACCCCCAAGTGGGTGTGGCCACCAATAAGAGGCAGTAGGACAGCTAGGGAAAAGGGAAAAAAATGGCGGACAGCATGGTTTGGTGACCCCCGTGAAATGGTCATTCGACCCCAAATGGGGTCCCGACCCCAGGTTGAGAACCACTGATCTAGAGACTATTTGCCTCTTGCCCTCTAGCAGATGATGTTCAAGTAGAAATATCTTTCTGACATTTTTTTAACTATACTTGATAACTGGAAATATAGAGGGAGGGAGAGAGACTGCACTACCAAAATATTGAACTTGCATCTGAGATTTATTTTCTGACCAGCTTGGGACAGGCGTAGAACGCTGATGGTCTTTGTGCTCTCTCTGCTATTAACAGAATTAAGCAATAGATTTAGAACCTCCCTTCTTGACATACTAAGAAGTCCGTGGAATGAAAACTGGTTCTAAGCCTTATAGTCAGACTTACAGCTGATCAAAATGGGAAATAAGTAATGCCATACCATGCAGGACCAAAGCTGTAGGCTAAATATATTACAAATACAGTATAGTTGTAAATATGGGCCCAGTGCAACTAAATGAAAAGTGAAAGAAAGAGGTTTAGGATTTCAAATGTGGCATAAATATATGAGTTTTGTAGAAACTGATGTTGATCATAGCTAAGTTTACTTGTATTTGCAACAAAGATTTTTATCTCCTTTTTGTTGTTTCCATGAGAATACCAAGTTCTTAGAAAAAAGAATTATCGTAGTATCCTGGATGCAATCTCTTACATTATTTTTAACAAGACTAGCAACACTGAGGTAATACTGGTAAAGCAATGCCAAAAGATTTTATTATTTGTTTATTGTAGGAATAAAGCCCTTCAAAAGGAGAGCTAGGCATTTCGTTCTCAACCATGCAGAGATGTCAAATTGACCAGGAGACATCAGAGACATAATCATCAGACTGAAGAAATTAGCACAAGTTCTCCAAAGGAGTGACCAGGGCAGGTTTTCCACTGGACAAAAACTTGAGATCCAGGACTTTAGAAGATATAGTCCTAACTCAAGGGAAGTCAGTGATGTTTAGGCAGGAAGTTAGAACTCAGATGCAAGATTCTTTTAGAGAAAAGTCCTGGGTACAAAAAAATGATGCTTGTAAAAGCTTTCTTGTCAAATTATTAGTCCAAGGGACATTTGGGGAACAGAAACACTCTGCCCTCTTTCAAATTGGTCTTGAAGAATTGTTGGCTGTTTCTCCAGCTGCTGTGTTAGGGGTATGTGCCTTCTGGGAATTCTATTAGGTTTCCATTTTTTATTCTCTGGAGCTATTGCCTCTGTTTTTTAGATTGTATTGAAGTGCTTTGAACTGTATACAATACTACCTAGAATAATTTGTAAGTCAAACAACTTATAAATATAATCAACAAATATGAGACGAATGTGGATCAACACATTTTATGATCACTTCAGTATGCCTTCAGTTTTTCTAGAAAATAGGGATCCAATGATTGGCACTATGAAAAGATTGATCTGCCCTTAAAAAAGCTTCAATCAACTGAAAACAGAGATGCTTTCAAAAGCAAAATAGAAATCAAATGACCAGCTGAGTTCTTGATGAACCTGAGACAAGTGAAGAGGAAATCTCTGTTTCCCCTCTCCCAGACTTTAAAAGCACATATTCAAGGGTGTTCCAGCCTAAATACCTTCTCCAGACATTGGTTATTGAATCTAAAGAAAAGTCATTGAGGACTTGAACACCATTAATGGTAGGATTGGCATCAATGGCTCCAAATTTAAAGACAAACTGTGAAGAAAACTTCAAGGCTTCTGGACCAGAAATTCAGGAGACATAACAATCTTTCATCTTCTTCATTTTTTAAATTGTGCTCATGAGGCAAAGCTTTTAGAAAACTTTGAACCTATGGATGATTTACTCGGGGTCTATTATTAGCCTCAATTGGTAGATCAGACCAAATAATCAATTCCATAAGAGAGCTAAAACTACTTTTAGCTATAACAATAGAATATTGCAAGTCCAATTGTGTTGTGCATCTTCCTCCTTATAGTTTACTGACTCAGGGAGGTGTCTGCCTTAGCTACTTCAGAATGTTGTTTTGCTGTTCTGGACTATATAAATGATTCAATCCTTTTGCCTTGGTAATATTCCTGTATATCTCCATCAAGCCCCAAAGATGCTTTTTCAAAAGGCAACTGAACTTCCTTTCTTTGTTTCTTGAAAACCTTTCACTTCTCATTCAAGAAGCTTCTCCTGTTCTTCTTGGATGAGAAATGAAATTATTTCCAAGAAAAAAAAAATGAGAAAGACCAGTTGCCTTTTGAAAAAGCTCCGTTGAGACAAGCATGACCTGGATGATTGAGAATCTCCATGTATGTATCTCCACCAGGGTTATCCTTTTACTCTCTATCCCTATAATGTGAGTTCAGACTAAGGATCTCTTTGGCCGACAGAAAATTTCATTGATTTTTCAAAGAAATAAAGTCTTCACAAGGATTGGAGGAAGATGAGGAGGTTACAGTACCTTTGGACCCTGCAACCCTTAATGCTTGCTATCAAAGAGTTGTTCACAAACAAAATGAACACTTTTAATGAGCCTATTTAACAAATGGTTGGAAAAACGAACCTGTCTGTTTTTCCTTGGAGATGAGGTGGGCTTGATCTTCAAACTTCTTGAAGAGAAAAGATAAGCTGATCCAGCTGTGGGAAATTGTGGGGATGGATGGAACTGTAAACTTAAATTGTAAAAAATTCAGTGAAGAAGTATGTGCTAAAATCAAAGAGATTAGTACAGAAATTAGAGCCAGAAGCCTTGCTCCAAATTCTCCAAACCTTCAAACATACTAGAAGAACTAATTGAGATTAGTTTTTTTACCTTACAAGTATTCCATCTATATTCTTGAGGATCAGAAGAACCAATGATTGAGACTTAACTTTTGAAGCAACGAGGATTTAATGGCAAAAGATCCAGATGCCCAATACAGAGGATGTGGTGTTTTCTATCGACTCAAATAATATTACAATAGACAAAGGGAGATCTACTTGCTGAGATGGAAGCCTGGTTATGGAAACCGGCCTGGCACAAAAAGAAAGCCAGAATAAGACTGAAAAGAGAAATTTAAAACTATATGTAATAGATTAAAAGGTACTGTAGAAATATGGATTGATTTAAGGTTTAAGATTTAGAGTTAGAAGCGAGAGTAAAATTTGTGATTACCAGAATATATATGTTAAATAGATTAAGAATGTAATTTTTGGGAATAATAGGTTTATTTGTATGAAAACTATTTTGTAATGGAATGAATGAAAATGGAAGAGGTTTTATAGTGACTTGGATTGATTTAATAATTAAGTGAGTATGCTAAATTAGTAAGATGATGTTTTGTGTAATAATATGCATGTTTTTAGACATAACAATTATTGGGATAAGATTTGAATTTTGCTTAACAGACTGAAATGATTTAAGGTTTGATATTACTTTGTTTTGTTAGGGATAGACTAATTGATGGATTGTATATGTATAAGCTAGAATTATATTTTATTTTAATTAGGACAAATATTGAGTAGTGGGTGAAGAAACAAGAGAGATGTGTGATAAAATTAAGTTTAGGAGACTAAGAACTAGAATATATTTGGAAGGGATACCCGAAGTGATAATATGTTTATTTAAGGCTTAAGTGGATTATGTTAATTGTAAATTAATGAAGTTTAAAAACAGGATTAGGATTTATAGAAATTTAATGTAGAAATGGATTGTTTTAAATATGTTATATTGTTTGAGAGAAATAGAGAGGGAATATTTAATGTATTTACTTGGGTTATTTTATGAGGTTTTGTTGTTGGATGTTTGATTCCCCCATCACTACGGTATGTCTTGAGCACTTTGTTGTAAGCGTTTAAAAAAACTAATAAAACTTGTTCTTTAAAAAAAATAGTTGGTAGTACTTAGAAGAGTTTAAAGAGATCTTCCCAAAAGCAAATTGACACCATTTTTGCTTGCTGGGACGTGACCACTGAAGTAAAGAAAAGGATAGAGAAAGTTCGAGCAGCATTCTTCAAAATGAAAAAGATCTTCTGCAGTCATGACATAAGCCTAAGACTGAAAATCAGACTTGTCAGATGCTATACTTTTTCTATCTTGCTCTATGGAGTAGAGAGTCGGTCTCTGACAGAAGGCCACCTGAAGAGACTAGAAGCATTTGAAATGTGGATTTACAGGTGGCTGTTACGTATAAGCTGGGTTGACAAGATCAAAAATGAGGTGATAAGCCGCCTGGGAAAGCCAAGGGAAATCATCAAAACAATTAAAAAATGAAAATTAGAATATTTCGGACATGATGCAACACCCAGAAAAATACGGCATACTCCACTGAAGGAAAATGAGCTCCAGGCAGAAGAAGAACATCCTGGCTTCAAAATCTAAGGGACTGGTTTGAACAAAACCCAGCAGCATTTTTTTGTGCAGCTGCTGATAAAAACAGGATCGCCATCATGATCGCCAACGTCCGATAATGGATATGGCACAAGAAGGATATAAATATTACACAGCACTTTCAAAGGGTTAAATGGGTCTTAAATCCTAAAACTCACTCGTAGGCATGATCACATTAGTGAACCCTTATATTATTTCAACTAAAGAAGCTTCTATTTTAAAATCTTCAAGTAAGAGTTCTCCAGATATTATATAGATATGATAAAAGCTACTAAGATTATCTAGATAATGTTATGCTATTTGGATGCTAAGCATAAGTGCTTAACAAATATGAAGTGTTATGTACAGCTCAAGCAATTATCTACATGGGCTAATTAAGAGTCCTTTGGAGTTGATTGGCTAATAAATTTATATTAATAATAATGTCAACTTCAGCATCAGTCTTTGCAATCATATGTATTCTTGAAAAAAAATCAAAATTATCCTTGCATTGCAGAGGACACTCTGAACATACTATCAGTATCCATGCGTTTGGGAAGTAGAACACATACTGTACCCGATACTGCAGACAACAGCTTCAAAAGCCTTTGGATTTTGTCATGTTTCAACATCTTGGGACTGTATTCCCCTTGTACTAAGCAGCAAAACTCCACAAATTGTTCAAAAGCCTCTTGAAGTGAATTAATTAGATCTGCAGATGCTTCACTTCCAATCGCCCCTGCATTAGAAAGCACAGGAAAAAGTTACTATTAAGAAGAGCGACAAGCTCATGGTCAAAAAACCCACTCTACATTATTGATATAAGCTATAATAATAGAATCTTGAAAATGTTACTATGTTTTTCCTTCCCTCTGTCTTATATCCCAGAGAATTAAGGTGGAATCAGTCTGAATTTCTCTTTTATAATTTACTTATATTTCCAGGTTGAAAACCTGACTTTGTTTTTGTAGTTATGCTGTGCAGTTTCTTTAAAGGTGTTTGTGCTTTTCTATAATGCTGTACTCAAAGTACTTAAAAATGAGTGATACTAGCATCCATAAGTTTCAAATCTAGCTGTCCAATTGCCCTTATTCATACCCTCCCTGATGCTGACAGCAATAATGCTATAGCAGCTATACTGCTCCAGAAAAAAGAGAAAAAAAATACAGCCAATACAATCCTAAATGACAACTGCAGGAAACTAGCAGCAATTGATTTTCAAATTCTTAAAAATGTTAAACTGTTTCTTAGATTGAGTAGACCTCTGGGAAGTACCTGGTAATTCCTTCAAGTATAATTTGCTGCTAGTTGAGTAGTTGTTGATTAGGTCTACAGCTGTGAACTTCCTGTTTTTTTTCAAGATATCCAGAGGTGATCTTGATTGCGCATCAGAGATATTTGGATCTGCCCCAGCATTTAGAAGCATCATAATATCTTCCTTTTGATCTAATACAAAGACAAGTTGCAATATAAGTATCCAACAATATGTTATCTCAGCAATATATCTGCACTTCATGACACAAGCCTCTTATCTACTCTAATATGTTGCAAGTGTTAATTATAACTGTAGAAAGCTCCATAAGGGAACATATAAAATTCACTTTTGGCATTTGTTGAATAAGTAACAGGAACAGACATACATTTTCAGCAAACTGTTCATTTTAGAAATCTCAGAAAATTCATGGGAAATAAAAAATAAAATTGTAATTATGTTTACATCACTTCCAACAAACTAAAACCAAACCAATTCATTATGAATTCAAACATTCATAAATCCAGTTATTTATACACTGCATTGTGGTATGGTTCTTTAACCATGGACTACTGAATAAACCCAAAACGACTCAGTTTACACAACACAAACAGATATAGTTTACAAAGCCAAAGAATTTTATTATAGTTTTAGCATAATGTGCAAACAGGGCTAGTGCTTTTCCTCCCAGCACAAATGATGCAAAGCGGCACTGGTCATCTCTTCAAAGATATTTATTTCTATAATTATCTCAGTCCCAAAAAAGACTAAGTGTGTATGCCATACATTTAAACCCACTGAAAAATGCTATATCAACATTAAAAAAGAAATGGAACAATAATAATTGAAGTAACTATTATAGAATTGAGAAACCAGGTGAATAAAATCAGTGTTGAAAGTGTAACATAGTTATTCACGATATTGTTGTAACTCAGTGTGTGTTCCAAGTGCAGTCCTATAATGCTACAAAATTTCTTCTTACAAAGATTGTGTTCACTCAGAAATGAGACGGGGTCCACACCTTTAGAGATACTAGATTGATCTAATTTTCACTGAAAAATAAATGAATGAACATATTCCTATACAGTACTGCCAGAAGAAAATATAAAATCATATACGTATACCAAAGGTCAGACACAGACCAAGTTGGGCCTCACAGACAGTTTATTTTATATAAATTATATAGAAGCCATTTGCTTCTAAACATTGCTTTAGTGACCCATGACTCTCAAATATTTCTTGGCAGCTTTTACTCTAAAAAAAAATGGGATTGGCCTTTTAGTACATTTATATATAAATTTTCTGAGCAGACTAGGGCCAGATTTATTTCAGCAATTAGCTTATCAGAAAATCCTCAATCAATGCTTACTGGTTATTTATTTTTCCTTTCCACTTAGGAACAGATAAAATGATCCTTTTTAGGCTCCCATGACTTGAAAGAATAATAAACAAGAAAAAGACTGCTTCTTAGAGATAATTTTTTTTCACAAATACTGTTTCTTATCTTGAATTTGGGGACAAGACGGCTAAAAACAGAAATAGTGTTATTTCACAGAAAGCAACAGAGTTACAATGCAGGAATATTCCAAGCTGTGCATTTAAACTTACTTTTCCATGAATATCTACTAGTCTGAGATGCTACTAGATGAAGAACTGTGGACCCATCTTCATTTTGTTGGTTAATAAGGCTCTTCAATTCAGGCTTATAATTCAGTAACCATTTGAAAAGATTGTTTTCATCTAAATATTTAAATGCAGAAGCATACACATTTAAAGAAAGAAAAATGTCCAACAAAACTTACAGAATGTCTGCATATGAGTAAGTATTTTTTCTTATACTTTTTTTCCCTATTTGGATTAACTTATTTTATGCCAAATAGAGAAGGTTGCAGAATAGAAATCACCATCCTTCTAAATTTATACAACAAAAATCAAGTCCAAACCATTATATAGCATGTCTCCTGGGCATTGTCCAAAATCTATGGTGCTTCCATTCATGTTCCTAAAGATTTGACTAGCCTAAAGTCTGTGGAGATTCTCAATCATCCAGGTTATCGTTGTGCTTTTCAAAAGGCAGCTTTTCAAAAGGCAGCTTTGTGTTTTTTTCATGAAAACATTTTATTTTTCATGCAAGAAGCTTCTTCAGTTGAACTGAATAAGCTTTTTGAATAAGAAGTGAAACATTTTCAAGGAAAAAACCAAGAAAGTCCAGTTGCTTTTTGAAAAGCACTTTGGGATGTTCTAGCATAGTAACCTAGGAAATAGTTTTATACTGTGGAACCTTCTCTACTTAGAATTGCCATTCACTCATGTTTCTCATCCAGACATTTGTCATCCCATCTTGTAGATGGAGTTTAAAACTGCAATATACAACTCTCAATACATCATTCTAATCAAACTGTAGTCATTTTAATTACAAATTCTCATTAAGAAGATATGTATTATCACTTAAGGTTATGTTTTATTTTCCTCCCTGGAAGAAGAACAACTTACTTGCTTTGATGCAAAACATGATGACAGCATGAAGAGGATAGTCTCCAATGCTTTCTACTTTTGTTCCAATAGAGAGCAACCACTCCACTAATATGGATAATCTTCGTATATTTTTAAAATGGGCCTCAAAAATATGCTTCTGGTTGGAAAGAAGCAGAAACGATAAACAACAGAGACTTTATATTCACCAGTATACAAGTAATCCTTGACCAACAATCAGTTGTTTAGCAATCGTTCAGAGTTACAATGGCCTCACAAAGGGTGATTCACACTGTAGAATGCTTTTGGCTCTCATAAAATCTTGCACAATTCCCCCCCCCCCCCCCGGCAATCACAGGACCATATCTTAGGCACTCACGTGTATGACTGGTTGCAGTGTCTTACAATCACATGGCTGCAATTTGGATAAAATACACCAGTTCAGGAAAATAGGTTTGCACTTATAACTACATGATTTGCTTAACTGTGATTCAGACTTATGACCATGTGATTCATTTAATGATCATCATAAAAATGGTCATAAAACCAGGTCTGGCCATGTGGTCTCTTGACTTATGATGATCATAACTTATGATCATAATTCCAGTCCCAACTGCAGTTGTAAATCAAGAACTATTGTGAAATATCACTTGTACACAAAGGGAGAAAGAATAAGCTAACCACTTCTTCAAGCCTAGTACAAAATCCCTGCTTTTGCTCCTATCCACAAATGCTGATTGTTACACTGAAATGCTAGTGTAAGGGAATGATCTAGTGTGCATGCCAGTATTTCCAGATTGGATTGTCTTTCTGGATTGGACTATCTTTTACTCATTCTGGCCCAGATAAAAATTTCTAATGAAAGAGTTACACTAACCTCAAAGAGGTCCTTCAGCGATAAATCAGTAACTTGCAGATTTCTTGGCAATTTTTCTTGCTCAGTAGCCAGCCACAGACAGGACTAGGAGAAAACAAATTTGTGAATTTTTGGTATTTATACATTAGCATCCAACTGTATTAAAAAGACAGGTTTCTTTCCTTGTTCTCTAAAATGCCAGTGTTCCCAAAACCCATCAGAATTCTGCAAGGCTATTATGTACCTTAGAACAGGGCTTTTCAACCAATGGTCCGGGTACCACCTGTGCTACATTGGCATCTGGCAGGTGGTACGCGACCATCCTAGAAAAGTGGTAGCAGAGGAGGGGAATGAGCTGAACCGGTGGCAGCACCGCACAAGCCTGAGCGAGAGATGGCTGGAGCTGGGGTGTCAGGGCTCAGCGGAAGCGCCAGGATCAGTGCTGTTTTCTAGCTGATCGGCGTTTCTTCGGGGCTGTCAGGACTCAGCGGAAGCACCAGGATCAGCACCAGGCTCCAGCTGGAGCTCGGCGCTGATCCTGGTGCTTCTGCTAAGCCCAGAAGAAGCACTGATCAGCTGGAATGTTGCAGCATCCCCAGGGTCTTGTGATTTACATTAATAATAATAATAATAATAGTAAAGTTGGAAGGGACCTTGGAGGTCATCTAGTCCAACCCCCTGCTCGGGCAGGAAACCCTACACCATTTCGGACAAATGGCTGTCCAGTCTCTTCTTAAAAACTTCCAGTGTTGGAGCATTTACTGCTTCTGGAGGCAGCTGTTCCACTGATTAATTGTTCTCACTGTCAGGAAGTTTCTCCTTAGTTCTAGGTTGCTTCTCTCCTTGATTAGTTTCCACCCGTTGCTTCTTGTCCTGCCTTCAGGTGCTTTGGAAAATAGCTTAATTCCCTCTTCTTTATGGCAGCCCCTGAGATATTGGAATACTGCTATCATGTCCCCCCTTGTCCTTCTCTTCGTTAAACTAGACATACCCAATTCTAGCAACCGTTCCTTATATGTTTTAGCCTCCAGTCCCCTAATCATCTTTGTTGCTCTTCTCTGTACTCAGATGCTTGGCAACTGATTCATATTTATGATGGTCACAGTGTCCCAGGGTCATGTGAAGTGACCAAAACCTGCTGCAACCACCCAGCAGATGGGGGGAATAAAAACCAAACACCCCCCCACCCCCACTGCCAATTCTCAACAGAAATGCTCACAACAATGAAAACCTCGGACAGGAGGAAAAGCGCCGCTGGGTGGGCAGGCATATGTCTTGCTCGGCTGTGGCTTGGGGGGTACTTTTTTCAGTGCCATTGTAACTTCAAACAGTCACTAAGTGAACTGTTGTAAGTCAAGGACTACCTGTACTTTATAACTTTTTTCCTTTTGGGGGGGGGGGTCATCAAGTTTTTGACACCTTGCTAGGTGACTGGTGGTACTCGGATATTGCCGTATCCTAAAAGTGGTACAGTGGGTGAAAAGGTTGAAAAGCCCTACCTTAGAATATGATATACATTACATCTTGAGTATCAGTACACTGCTATACTTCTTAGTTGCTGCATTGTCAGAACAAAATATTAATTTGCAAAATAGTTTTTTGATTAAAGATCCTAGCTTGCCTTAAAGAGCAATGTTATGAGCAGGCTTAAAATTCAAATGGCTTTAACTAAGCTTATATCATACTAGACAAAATATGCCAAAACTAATTGGAACTGAACTAATCATTAGCAAAAAAATTCTATATGATACATGGGCATGATCAAAGTTGGTAACTCTTTCTATCCTTTGTTAACTTTCTAAAATGTTATAGAAAGGCTTCAATTGACTAAAAACATGATAAATGATAAGGTTATTGAAATCAACTGTTTTTAACTTGGAATGTAAGAGATGTACAAACTTAAATATATTGAATTAATGAATAAAATGCTTGTGATATAAGAAGAAATGGGAAAGATATGATCTGATTGAATGCAGCCTGATCAGAATGAATAGAGTTGATGAATGCAGGTATGAGTTTAATGAAAGGGCTCAGACAACAGAAAGTATAATTTGGTGTGATTTAGAGTATCATGATTATTATGAAAGCGAAAATTTATAGGACAGAGGCAATTGCATCTCCACATCCATGTGATTCACATACAAGAGGAACAGAACTACATTTTAGAAATACTTTTTGACAAGCAGAATACAAATATTTTTTGCTCTGTAGAGATCAGTGAGAAATATATAAATGATAAAGGTAGTTTATATGTGTGTGCTTATTTAGAGGCAGAATATTATAAAGGCCTGATTTATTAATATTTTGCATATTTACGGAGCTTGGAAATTATGGGCGAATAGAACAATTGTGAATAACAGAGGAAAATGTGCATCAGAATAAACAGAATGCTTAGTATTCAATAAATACTAAGGTGTAAGACAGGAGTTTTTCAATCAAGTGTTTATTTATTCAAGGGGCATAAATACATAAAATGTATTTCTAGATAATTCCCCCCAAAAATTATGGTGACATTACAGCTATACTGGGCATATAAATTTTTACATACTTTGTAGGGAGACAGTGCAATATGGTTGGCTGGAAACTTGAATGATGATTAGACTGTATTACACAATGAAAAGTATGAATCTAAAAATGAATGTACCAAAGATCTAAGAGATTGTGCTTAGTGGAGAAAACTGAACAGTTGCAAGTTATATAAAAATGGACTAAACTAGAGAGCAAGCCATTGTGATGCCTGCTTTACGGAATATTCTGTCTCCCAAAGTAAGGCAGGCTTCTTCACATTTGACCTTCTAAAGGTTTTCAAGGTCTGGAGAACCCAAGAGAGTGGAGAATTATTGGGGTGGCTTTCCTATTATTAACATCTCCTTGCCTAATATTTCTTCTTTTTTAACTTTGTTTTTATAGTTTTTTAATGTTATAGTTTTTTAATGTTATGTTCTGTTGAAGAACCAGACTAAACTTGCTCTAAACCCATTTAACTATGATGAAAACATGTCAAGTCAATTCTATGCCGGATCAAGTGTTGCCTGGTTCAACCAGACTCATATTGGATACTATGGCTCCTGGGTGTTCAGAGAAAAATATGCCACAAGGTTCAGCTCCCTCTGCTAGCCAACCAGGGCATGGAGTTGACAGGCAACGAGAAGACAAATGAAAAAACTAAAAATCTGGACAAAGGAAGAAAATTACTCAATTATGGAATCTTATTATAGATACGAGCCAACAAAACGTGGAATTCAAAAGTGCATTTTCAAGTTTGGAAAGAGAATCATCTGAATATGGAAATCAATGAACAAAGACTTATGGACCAGAGGTGTGTTATTCTTCACTAATGCAGGATTACAAGAGATTTCAAGCAAAGCAGCTCAAAGTATAACTGATAATAGAGATAATTTAGAAGTGGAGCAAAAAGTAGTGGAGAAGAGGAAGGAAATCAGAAAAGTGGATTAGGAACAAGAAGCAAGAGCTGGATTAGCTCTTGAAGAACCAACAGCCAAAGCCGAACTAGCTGAGGAAATTAAGACTCAGATGGAAAGCATGGAAAGAATTATATTGCCAAAACTAAATCAAGCTAGTAAGAGAAGTTGGCTAAATTATTGAAGAATGTGAATGAAGCTGCACAGACTATTCCAACAGAAACAAACAAACCAACGAATGTATGCAGCAGCTTACGTTACTACTGAAGAATTAGAGTTGAAAATTGTAAAGAATAAAACAGTTAAGAAAGGAAAACCAAAGTGGAAAATCCATCTGGGGTTAAAAATAAAGACCATTCAATTGGACTTAAGTAATTTGAAGAATTTGAGGAAGGAAACCTGAAAAATAAATAAAGAATTAGCCTGACAACAAGATATGACCTGGAAAACAAAGAAATTGCAGTTATTGAAGAAGTAAAACAAAGAGTTGTAGCTATTGCAGAGAAAATAACTGAATGATAACTGATTAATGCAGTTTCAGCAAAATTCACAATTTCAAGTGAACCAGCATCATTTCTATAAGACCCTTGAAAGTGGACATGGTGCTACCACAATTGAAAAACCTAACAAAGAAAATACCCTGAAATTTTGGAAGGACTTGTGGGAAAACAGCAAGAAGCACAATGGGAATGTAAAGTAGATCAAGCATGTTGAAAGCATCGTAAAAGTGACTAAATAGAAGATGTTCACATAATAAAAGTTTAGCAAACCAGATGAATTGGGTTCTGGAAACACCAGTAAGTGAAAAATGGCCAACAACTGGAAGAACAGTTTTGATTCAGAAGGATGCAAAAAAGGGAAATAAATCTGAAAATTACAGGCCAATCACCTGCCTGCCAACAATATACAAATTACTTACAGGTATTATTGCAAATAAATTTATGGATATCTAGAAAACAAGGATTTGCTGCCTATAGAACAGAATGGGTGTTGCAAAAATTCAAGAGGAACCAAAGACCAACTGATAATTGATAAACTGGTTTTGAAGAATTCAAAGAAAAGACAAACAAATTTGTTCATGCCTGGATTGGTTATAAGAAAGCATCTGATTCTGACTTCCGGTGGTTCCAGCGATGACGAATGGCGGCGTTTTACAAAGCCGCCCGTTCCTGGTGCGTGTAAAAGCCGCGGGACTTTGACAATCAGCTGTCCCGCGGCTTGAATCTCCTCCCTGGGAAAAAGGGAGGAGGAGAGCTCTCAGGTAGAGGTAAGAGCTCCCCTGGATTCCTGTTATTTTGGGGATCGGAGGGTAGAACTCCCTCGGAGCCTGAGCAACTCCGCGTTCCAGGGAGACTTCATTCCGAAGTTTTTTTTTTTTTTATTGAAAGTTTTATAAATTTTACAAAAAGACAAAAACAATACAAAACAAAAAACAACATATACAAAAAAATAAAAATAAAAAACTAAACATATAAAAAAACCCCCATCCCCCACCCCTCACAAACACCCTCCCTTCCCCCCCCCGAGCTTCCCAGAGCAGAATATAGGCTTAGTTAAAAATTAACAAATAAAGATAAAAATTAAATTAAAAAATTTATATTTATATATATATAAAAAATATCTATATATAACATTCTCTATATATAAAAATAAAACTTATGAAAAAACTATGTGATATTTTTT